AGCACCCATCTCTCTGCTMAYGGAACACCGATGACARAGCAGGCTCTCTACCTAAAATCTATCGATCTCGATCCAAAYAATGCCYACGCTTACCACAACTTAGCCACCACTCTTTCAGGTGCAGCACCCATCTCTCTGCTYAACGGAACTTCGATGACAAARCAGGCTCTCTACCTAAAAGCYATCGATCTCGATCCAAACAATGCCCMCGCTTACCACAACTTAGCYACCACTCTTTCAGGTCAAACTCCCATCTCTCTGCTCAATGGAACACCGATGACARAGCAGGCTCTCTACCTAAAAGCCATTGATCTCRGTCCAAATRATGCCCAAGCTTACTACAGCTTAGCCAATACTCTTTCAGGTACAGCACCTATCTCTCTGCTCAACGGAACACCGATGACAAAGCAGGCKCTCTAYCTAAAAKCYATYGATCTCGATCCAAACAATGCCCMCGCTTACCACAACTTAGCCACCACTCTTTCAGGTGCAGCACCCATCTCTCTGCTCAACGGAACTTCGATGACAGAGCAGGCTCTCTACCTAAAAGCCATCGATCTCRATCCAAAYAATGCCCYYGCTTACYACAACTTRGCTACCAYTCTTTCAGGTCAAACTCCCATCTCTCTKCTCAATGGAACACCGATGACAAGACAGGCTCTCTACCTAAAAGCTATCGATCTCGATCCAAAYAATGCCYACGCTTACCACAACTTARCCAATACTCTTTCAGGTACAGCACCTATCTCTCTGCTCAACGGAACACCGATGACAAAGCAGGMTCTCTACCTGAGAGCTATTCATTTTAATCCAGGTTTTGCTGCGGCTTACTACCGCTTAGCCAATACTCTTTCAGGTACAGCGGCCATCCTTCTACTCGATGAAACACTGATGACAAAGCAGGATCTCTACCTGATGGCTATTGATTTTAATTCACATTTTGCTGAGGCCTACTACCAGTTAGCCAATACTCTTTCAGATCAAACACCCATTTCTCTGCTCAACGGGAGATTGATGACAAGGCAAGCTCTCTATCGGAAATCCATCAAGCTCGATCCCAATGGTCCCCTGGCTTATCACCGCTTAACTGCTTTAAGCAAACGATCTACCTAGGTTGCTCTTCTGACCAGACTCTCCAAAATCTGGAGATCAATCCAGAGAATGATCTTGTTGATGGAATGAAAAGGCTCATAGGTCATAGCAGCTAAAAATTGCAGAGATTACCGCCAAATCCACGGCTCTAGAGTTGGCAGCGAGTCAGGCGACTCCTAGGAGATTTTCTGGAAAACCCGTTGAACCAGTGTAGCCCTAAAGGTTTAGGGCTAATCGATCGTCTCGACAATCATCGTATTGGTGGTCCCTTTGATCAAGAAGGGAGACCCTGTCGTGACGACAATGATGTCACCCGACTGAAGCATGGCGGCTCTTTTCCCGTAATCTGCACCGAGGGTAATCGCCTCTTGGACATTTTTCAGAGGGTTTGTCTTCAATGGAATGACACCCCATAAAAAGGCCATCTGATGGTAGACGGTTTCGTGGGGGGTGAGGGCAAAGATCGGCATTTGCGGCCGGAACCGAGAGATAAGACAAGCAGTCGATCCGCTGGTGGTTACGGTAAAGATCGCTTTGGCATCGGCGGTATAGGCGGTCTGAACAGAGGCTCTTGATACCGATTTAGAGACGTTATCCGATCCCCAATTTTGGTGGCTGAAAAACTCCCGAAAAGAGAAGTCGTTCTCAGCTGTCTGCACAATCCTCTTCATCATTTTCACCGCTTCGACGGGATAGCTTCCAACGGCCGTCTCCCCACTGAGCATGACGGCGGATGAGCTGTCGTAGATCGCATTGGCCACATCGGAGACCTCTGCACGGGTTGGGCGAGGGTGTTTAATCATCGACTCCAACATCTGCGTCGCGGTCACAACCGGCTTTGAAGCTTCGCAACATTTCCGGATCATCATCTTTTGGAGTCGTGGCACCTCTTCGAGTGGGAGCTCAATACCCAAATCTCCACGAGCCACCATAATGCCATCTGCAACTTGTAAAATTGCATCGAAATTGTTCACCCCTAAACTGTTCTCAATTTTCGCAATGACGAGAATATCTGGTTTCTCTTGGGATTCGAGGTAGTGTTTAATCTCTAGAATGTGGTCGGCAGACCGAACAAAGGAGGCGGCGATCAAATCGAGGTCGTTTTTACAGACAAAAGCCAAATCTACAAGATCTTGCTCTGTCATTGCGGGAAGGTCGATATGGGCCTTGGGAATACTCACACTCTTATGACTCTTGAGCAGATCGGCATTTTGGATCTCGATGACGACCCCTTCTTCCTTCTTCTCGACTGCTTTGGCAACGATATAGCCGTCATCAAAGAGCAGCTTCATCCCCACCTCAATTGCATCGACGACTTCAGGGGGTGTCAAAGAGACGGCTGTCTCATCTCCTTCTACCTGTTTTTTAGAGAGTAGAATTCTCTGACCAGAGGTGAGCCGAATCGACTCATTCTTAATAGACCCCAACCTAATCTCTGGCCCCTTCGTATCGGCCATGATTGCAAGAGGCACATTTTTAGCAGCCCTTGCTTTTTTTAAATTTTGTATAACACGAAGGTGTTCTTCGTGGGTTCCGTGGCTGAAATTAATCCGAGCGACATTCATCCCCGCATCGATCAGCTCTAAAATCTTGTCGTAAGATGAGACTGCGGGCCCCATCGTGCAGATTATTTTTGTACGTATCATGTGTTTGGAATATAATCGTTCCAACCACCATTTGCAAGTTATGAAAATTATTCTGAAGAAAGTCAAAGTTCACAACCTCAAAGAGATCAATTTAGAGCTCGATCCGAACCAATTTATCGTCTTTACAGGGGTCTCGGGATCGGGTAAATCGTCTCTGGCTTTCGATACAATCTACACCGAAGGACAACGACGGTATGTCGAATCGCTCTCCGCCTACGCTAGAAGACACCTAGGAGACTTTCCAAAACCCGATGCCGAGCTCATCTCAGGAATCTCCCCTACGATCGCCATCGAACAAAAAACGGCAGGCCGTAGCCCCCGCTCCACGGTTGGAACCATGACGGGTCTCTACGACTTTTTAAGAGTCCTCTATGCCAGAGGAGCTACCCCTCACTGTCCTGTCAGTGGAGAGGTTGTGGCACCGCAGAGCTTGAAACAGATCGTCGAAACGATCCAGAGACTCCCTCCCAAAACGGCTCTTTTGATTTTAAGCCCTTATGTAAAGGCAAAAAAGGGGGAGTTTAAAGACGACTTCGCGGAGCTTTTACGGCGTGGTTTTATGAGGATCCGGCTCGATGGGGAGATCGTCGAAATCTCCGATGCGATCCGCGTCGACAAACAGAAGCCGCACGATATCGATGTCGTCATCGATAGACTCTCTCTTCCCGACGACATCAGGGTCCAGGAAGCCGTCACAGCGGCACTTGAGTTTGGCAAAGGGCTCATGTCGGTTTTCGATGTCAACACCAAGGAAGAGATCCTCTTTTCGCAACACGCTTATGCCTTTAAGTCGGGCCTATCCTATCCTCCACTTGAGCCTTACGACTTCTCTTTTAACCACCCTCTTGGAATGTGTCCCACATGTCAAGGACTCGGTCTTTCACGCACCTTTAATCTCGATCTCGTGATCGACCCTTCTTTAAGTATTGCGCAGGATTGCTGCTCGGTTGCCTCCTCTGTCACAACGGTCCGGTACGGCAATATCTACAAAAATCTCGCCCACCTCTACAAATTCGACATCAATACCCCCTGGAGAGATCTACCTGCAAAAGGGAAAGAGGTTTTCCTGTACGGCTTCAAAGAGAAGTCGATACGGATGACCTTTGTCCATCCCCTTAAAAAATCTCGCTGGATCGAATACGTTCAATGGCGGGGTGTCATTACCGAAGCACTCGATCGGTATGCGGCAGCCTCAAGCGAAAAGTACCGAGAAAAGATGCACCCCCTCATGGAAGAGTCGGTTTGCCCCAGCTGCCACGGAAGCCGCTTAAAACCGTATCCATCAGCCGCTAAATTCGAAGGGAAGACCATCGCAGAAGTCTCTGCACTCTCCATTGCAGAAGCCACTCTGTTTTTCAATAAGAGCAGCCGCACTCAGATCACCGAAGAGCTTCTCAAAGAGATCTCCGAAAGACTTCGGTTTCTCCTGGGTGTAGGTCTGGGCTACTTAACCCTCGAACGGACATCTCCTACCTTATCCGGTGGAGAGGCCCAACGGGTTCGCCTCGCTTCCCAAATTGGATCGGGACTGGTGAATACGACCTACGTCCTCGATGAACCGTCGATTGGACTCCATCCGATCGACAACAGTAAACTCCTCCTCACCCTTAAAACACTGCGCGATAAAGGGAATACGGTCATTGTCGTTGAGCACGATGCCGAGACCGTTTTTGCGGCCGATACCGTGGTCGATATCGGGCCCCTTGCTGGGGAAAAGGGGGGAGAGGTCGTCTATGCGGGACCTGTCCAAGGACTCCTCTCTTGCGAAGCTTCGATCACGGGAGGATATCTCTCTGGAAGGTATAAAATTCCCACCCCCAAAAAACGGCGTCCTCCAACAGACCGCGCCGTTGTCATCAAAAAAGCGACCCACCACAACCTCAGAAAGGTCGACGTCACCATCCCTCTTGGCCTTTTCATCGCCGTCACAGGGGTTTCAGGCTCTGGAAAGTCGTCTCTGATCTCCGATATTCTCTATCCAGCTCTTTCGAATGCGCTCCTCAAATCCAAGTTGCCTGTTGGAAAACATCAAAAAATCGAAGGAATCGACCATGTCGATAAGGTGATTGCAATCGACCAGACTCCCATTGGTCGGACCCCCCGCTCAAACCCCGCTACCTACATCAAACTTTTCGACGATATCCGAGACCTCTACAGTCAGCTCCCAGAGAGTATCGCCTCAGGCTATAAACCGGGAAGATTTAGCTTCAATGTGAAAGAGGGGTCTTGCCCCCACTGCGGTGGGATGGGCATGGTGAAAATCGATATGGATTTTCTCGAAGACGAGTGGGTGATCTGCTCCCACTGTGAAGGGAAACGGTTCGATGAGAAAACCCTCTCGATTCTCTACAAAGGGAAGACCATTCACGACGTCCTCGAGATGCCGATTTCCCAGGCCGTCGAATTTTTCTCAACCCTCCCGCACATTAAAACAAAACTCGAAACCCTGATGCATGTCGGGCTCGACTATCTTCGACTGGGACAAGCCTCCCCGACCTTGTCCGGTGGAGAGGCTCAACGGATTAAACTGGCTAAAGAACTCGCACGTCCTTCGACAGGAAAAACCATCTATATCTTGGATGAACCGACGACAGGGCTCCATTTCCACGACATTGGAAAATTGGTGGAGATTTTACAATCGCTCGTCTCTCGGGGGAACACCGTTGTCGTCATCGAACACAACATGGATCTCGTCAAAACAACCGACTGGATCATCGAGCTCGGCCCTGAAGGAGGCTCTGGCGGTGGAAAGCTCATCGCAGAGGGTCCACCTGAAACCATTCGAAAAGGGAAGACAGCAACGGCATGGGCTCTCAAAGAAGAGTTCACCACCTCTCCCAAAAAAACCGAAGTCCATCCCCTCGACCACATCGTGGTCGAAAAAGCCGAGCAGAATAATCTCAAAGGGGTCTATGCAAAAATCCCCCGTGGAAAAATCTCCCTTTGCACAGGCCCTTCCGGCTCTGGAAAGAGCTCCTTTGCTTTTGAGACCATCTACGCTGAAGGGCAACGCCGTTATGTCGAGTCGATGTCCCCTTTTGCACGGCAGTTCATCAAACAGATGGAAAAGCCGAAAGTCGAACACATCGACGGCCTCTCCCCTGCAATCGCCATCGAGCAAAAAAGTCACGCGGGGAACCCCCGGAGCACCATCGGTACGATGACCGAGACGTACGATTTCCTCCGCATCTTCTACGCCTATCTTGGCGTCGCCCATGCTCCAGAGACGGGTGCTAAACTTGAGACGATCAGCAAAGAGTACGTCGTCGATCAGCTTTTACAACTCCCCCTCAAAACCAAACTCCATATCCTCTCTCCCATCAAAAAAGAGAGCTTTGACGATCTCAAACGGCAAGGGTATCTCCGCATTCGGCTGAATAACACCTATTACGAGCTCGATGAAGAGATTCCGTACGACCCCAATAGAAAAAATAGCCTCTTTTTGGTGATCGATCGGTGCATTGTCTCTCCAGAGAGTCGTCAACGCCTCTTAGAGGCGATCGAATACGCCTCTAAACAAGGGAGCCTTGTGGTCGATGCCGAGGGGAAAGACCTCTTTTTCAACCTCGCCTTTGCCGACCCGACAACGGGAAAATCGTACCCGTCGATCACACCCCACACCTTCTCCTTCAATACCGAACAAGGGATGTGCCCCGACTGTTTAGGACTTGGGTTTCAGTACGGGGTCGAGCTGAATCCCGAGCAGCTCGCCATGTCTCCCATTACCCTCTTACACTCCCTCTGGCAAGAGCTCGAGACCAGTGAAGCCACAACCCTGGTGGAAGACCTCTTAGAGAAATACGACATCCCGCCGTACCAACCTTTAAAATACCTCTCCTCGGAGCAGATGAAGCTGTTTTTACAAGGGCCGATGCGGCTTGAGAATTTTGAGTGGCTCGGGCTCAATGCGGTTCTTGGCAAGGCCGCTAAGATACGGTCCGATTTCCGGGACTACTTCTCCCCATTCTTAACAGAGGCCACCTGCCTCTCCTGCCAAGGTTCACGCCTCAATCCGCTGGCACGCCATGTCAAAATCGACAACCATTCGATCGCAGAGTTTTGCAACCTCCCCATTGAGATGGCACTCGCCTTCATCGATCGGCTAACTCCCCCTCCCTTCTTGGAAGAGACGCATAGACAGCTCCACCATCGACTCCATTTTCTCAAAGCCCTCGGCCTTGGCTACCTCTCCCTCGACCGGAGCGCTCCTACTTTAAGCGGTGGTGAGACACAGCGGATCCGCCTCAGCAGGCAGCTGGGAAGTGGTCTCACAGGCTGTCTCTACGTCTTAGACGAGCCGACCATTGGGCTCCACCCTCAAGACAATGAACTCCTCAACCAAGCCCTATTGCAACTCCGCGATATGGGGAATACACTGCTCCTCGTTGAACACGACCCGATGACGATCAAGATCGCCGACTACATCTTCGACTTTGGACCCCATGCAGGTCGCGATGGAGGTCAAATCATCGCCGAAGGGACACTCCCCGAGATCCTCGCAAACCCGAACTCCCTCACAGGAGGGTACCTCACAGGCCGCCTCCAAGTCCCCATCCCTGCAACACGGCGGAAACCGAAAACCTTCTTTACCCTCAACGAGTGTCGCCTCCACAACCTAAAGAACTTCGATATCGGGATTCCAGTCGGGCTCTTCACCTGCATCACAGGGGTTTCAGGAAGCGGAAAATCGACATTTCTCCACGACCTCCTCAAGCCTTACGTCGAGAAAAACCTCGAAAAGACCCCCTTTAATAAGCTGATCTTCCTCAACCAAAACCCCCTTGGGCAAACGAGCCGCTCCGACGTCTCTACCTATGTCGAGCTCCTCTCCCCCCTTCGCGACCTCTTCGCCTCGATTCCGGCAGCGACGATCAAAGGGCTTCAACCGAAACACTTCAGCTCGAACCATCGACGAGGAGCATGCCCCTCCTGTTATGGCCTTGGGACAAAATCGATTCAGCTCCAATTTTTGCCCCCCGTTAAAATCAGCTGTGAGGCGTGTCAGGGACTTCGCCTAAATCCACTCAGCCTCTCGATCCAGTTTAAAGGGAAAAACCTCGGGCAGATTCTCCAGATGACCGTCAAAGAGGCCCGTCTGTTCCTCGATGCCTTCCCCAAAATCGTCCAGATCCTCGACACTTTGAAGGCCGTAGGACTCGACTATCTGCAACTCGGCCAAGAGATCGCCTCCCTCTCTGGAGGAGAGCAACAGCGGATTCGGCTCTCGCGCGAACTCTCCAAACGGTCGTCGGGAAAAACCCTCTACCTCTTCGATGAGCCGACAGTCGGACTCCACGCCGATGACATCGTCAAGCTGGTGAAAATCTTCGACCACCTCACCGCCAAAGGGAACACCCTTGTGATCATCGAACACAACCTCGATGTCATCCGGTGCGCTGACTACGTCTTCGATCTAGGCCCCAAAGCCGGAACCGAAGGAGGCTACCTGATTGCACAAGGAACCCCCGAAGAGCTCATGAAAAATCCGAGCTCCATCACAGGTCGGTATCTAGCCTAACAGCTCTATTTGTCGGCATGCACCCATAAAGGATGAATGTTCAATAAATCTCCCCCTTGGTAAAATCGTCGCCGTCAAGAATTCCAATAGTGAGGGAAAGCTCAAAGTCACGCGTTAATTAAAATAAAAAAATAACGTAGAGCAAAAGGGGGATGACAAAAATGTTCATTCACAACGCATTCAAAATACTCGAGACAGAGAGAGGGTTGTATCTCATTCCTGTAAGACAAAATGAGATATCCTCTTCAGAAGATTTGAAAGCGATGATACGTGAAGAAAAGTACCAAGACATTTTAACCGCAAGCATCGACAAAGCAACGATTGAAGAGCCGGATAACCATGGACAAACAGCCTTACACTGGGCGGTTCTTTCCAATCATGAAGAGCTTTGTGATGCGCTTTTGAAAAAAATGGATTCAGAGGGTATCTGCTATCAAACAAAAACAAGCCGAGAAACCACCTTGCACTTTGCAGCTCGTTCAGGATGTCAAAAAGCTATCCAATCCCTTATGAATACCCCATCTGCTGCACAATTGGTGAAAATTCAAGATATCGATGGGGAAACACCGCTCCACGTTGCTGTCCAGAAGAACGACCAGGAAGTCGTGGATCAACTATTGAAAATGAGTGAAACGACAGAGTTGCTAGGTTTACAAGATCGCTACGGCCAGACACCCCTCCACGTTGCCGCATGGAAAGGGTATAACGAGATATGCGCTACTCTTTGTGAAAAGATGACAGTTGAACAAATTTGCACTCTCATGGAGCCAGAAAAGCAGCGTCAAACAGCGCTCCATTTTGCTGTACAAGGAAACCATCCAGAAGTTGCGAACATTTTATTGAATTCTCCTGCGGTAACTCAATTAGTTGGAATAGTAGATTTCTATGGCCAAACTGCATTGCATTGGGCTGCAGGGAAAGGGTACGCTCATCTATGTGCGATTCTCTGTGAAAAGATGACGGTTGAACAAATTTCCACCCCCATGGATCCAAAAGAGCAGAATCAAACACCACTCCATTTCGGTGTGCAAGGAGAGTTTGAAGAGGTTGTGAAAATACTATTGAACTCTTGTCCACCAGAAGAGGAAAAAAGGTTCATCTCCATCAAAGATATCAATGGCAAAACGGCCTTAGATTGGGCTAAAGATAAAAAATTGGAACAAATAACAGATCTTCTTGAAGAAGCTAATACCTAAGTTTGAGCTAAGAAAAATATAAATACTTCAATAAAAATCCACAGTAGAGACCTCTTTAAAACTTCAGTGATGAAAGTCGTGTTATGTCAAAAATAGGCGCCCTTGTAGGGAATATCTTCCACCACTACGAGTCGTCCCTCTTTGGATGGATTGCCCCCTTTTTAGCCCCCCTCCTGTTCCCCGAAAAAACCGGCCTCGATGCACTCCTTCTGACCTTTGCCTTGATCCCCTTAAAATACCTCATCAAACCCCTCGGTGCCTGTTTTTGGGGATGGGTTGGAGATAGATGGGGCCGAAAACCGGCCCTGACGGCCAGCCTCATCGGGATGTCGATCTCGACTCTGACAATAGGGTCTCTTCCTCTGATTCCTCACGCCTGGATTTTTTTAGCCATCTGTCGCCTCTTTCAAGGTTTTTTTTCCGCGGGAGAAGAGAAAGGGGCCGCCCTCTATCTCTTAGAGCAGACACCTGTAGAAAAGAGGTCGTGGATGAGTTCGCTCTACGACGCTTCAGGCATCATTGGGATTTTTTTGGCCTCGCTTCTCGCCAGTCAGCTCGGAGAGACCCACTGGCGACTCCTCTTTTGGCTCGGAGCTCTTGGCGGTGTTATTGGGGTCATTTTTCGGAAGACAGCGAAAGAGTCTCCTGAATTTGTCCCAACCCCCTTCTCATGGAGGGTCATTTGGCAAGAGAGACGGCTCCTCTCCCGCATCGCCGTGATCTCGGGATTTTCGTACGCCAACTACTACCTGGTCACCGTTTTCCTCAACGGCCATCTCCCTCGGATCTCTGCCCTAACCCCTTCCGATGCCCTCCGGTTCAACACCCATCTTCTCTGGATCGACTTCCTCCTCCTCCTCGGATTTGGGGCTCTTTGCAAGTCGATGCGGAAGGAAAAGCTCATGCTCTTTGCAACACTTGCAACCGCCGTGCTCGCCCTTCCCCTCTTTGCGACCTTTGACCACGCTCCTCACGGCATCTCTTGGGGCCATGCCGCGCTCATCCGGCTCATCTTCGTCACTCTCGGAGCCGCTCTTGCCGCCCCTTACCACGCCTGGAAGCTCGATCAACTCCCCTCTCACAACCGGTTCCTCCTTGGAAGTCTAGGATCGACGCTGGGCTCCCAACTCTTCGGCGCCCCCATCCCGCTTCTGGCCACCTATCTCGTCGCTCAAACAGGCCTCACCTGGATCGCCGCAATTCCCCTGGTGATCTTAGCCCTTGCCGCCTCCCTTCTCCTCCGTTCGAGCGCAACCTCTCCAGCAATTCTCTCAAGCTCTCCTCCAGAATAGGTTCCTCGAGGTAAGCAACTCCTCTCCTACCATTGACTCTGCCAGCCATCTCCAATGAAAGAAGAGGGTGAAAAGTCGGGAAAATCTTCCAGTCTATCGAAATGGTCAACTCCATTGCATAAAATGGGGGTGAACTCATCTCCTCTCTTTGTGGTTAGCTGAGTTCCATCCTCTAAAAAAACCTGGAGATTTATCTCAAATAAAGAGCTGATCACATCGATCGGTGTTTTCGACTCTTCCTCCTCAACTCGGCGCGTAAAAGGGATAGATCCTTGAGCTTGGCTTAAGTACTCGATGACATACTTCTTAAAAATCTCTTCCGTAGAGCAATAGAGAAAGAGCTGATGATCACACTTGACGACAGCCCCATAAGCTTTCTTGAACTCCTTTTTAGCCGACTGTTTTTTCAATAACAGACTTAACTCTTCCGGCTTTTTCCCTCGAGTTGCCTCTTCTCCATACTTTCTCCTGATCTTTTCAATTAAAACCTGCAACCTTGCTTCTGACTGCCCCAATGATGCGGCTAAATCAAAAAATGGTTTTGAGATGATTTTCTGGTAAGCCTTTCTCCCCTCTTCATTGTGATGAATTGCAACAGGCCCTAGATAGAGAAATTGCCGAATCTCAGGTGCAAACCATCTGCGAACCTCTTGTTGTTCAGCGGAAGCCATCAGTCGATTCACCAAATTTACACGCGTGAGCAAAGGGTGATTAACGGCCTGAAAAAAGCAATCAGGGTCATTATGGATAGGTCTGACGTAATACGTAAACCCTTCACACAAAACCGGGGTGTTTTCTGGGCTTGGGGTAGAACCATTCGAGTTAGACCAAAGAAGATGCTCTTGCATTTGTAAGCGCCAGGCAAGTTGAGAACCTGAAAACACTGCCACAGAGAGACTCCTTGAGAGCTGTTTTTGTCAAATAAATTTAGCAAGCATTTTGATTAAACTAAAATTATTTATCAATAATTAAAACCCCAGAGATAACGAGTGAGTTATGCCAAATGTGATTTTGAGGATCGGCCATAGAACTGCAGCAAAAGCACTCGCAATCGAGTTATCAAAAAATGGAGGTTGTATTCTGGTCTACCTATCTCCTTCATTCGAGTGCAACCCCTTCAGCACTCTCTAAGATCTCCCATGGAATGCGTTCCTTAGAAAAAGGATCCAACATGTTTAGAACCTCCCAATCGTCGTACTCGACTGCATAGGTCTTCAAGTTTTTAAATTGAGCATCGTCGCAGTCCTGCATCCATATTTTAACAAAATGCTGTTTTATATCACAAAATTGATTCGAATTTAGGACCTTTTCAATATTTTTAGGGTCTTGTAAAATCGTCTCCGTCATCTCATATATCTTCAAACAATCGGGGCTACTGAGGGCATAATCTAATTTAGTCTCTGAATCGTAGTAATTAAAATCCGATCGATCTTCTGCGATTTGAGCCCGGTGTTTTATCAATGGCATCAGACTGTCTACAATTCCTTCAAACTTTTCCTTTTTCCCAAATTTGAGGATCCTGATCAATTGTATAACAAACTCTTCCATCTCCTCATTGTCGTAATTTTTCTTTAGCAAATCAGCAATTGTCAACTCTTCAGAATTAAATAACCGGAGTGACAAATCGCCTCGATGTTCTAAAAATAGGTTAACCATCGTGAGATCTAAGCGTGCAATCGCAATATGTAAAGGAGTTATTCCACGACAGCTGAATTGATTTGGATTAGCTTGATGATCTAGGAGTATCTTGGCAATTTCACAATTGCCGCTATAGGCTGCATTATGTAAAGGAGTCTCTCCCCCCTTATCTACAGCCTCTAGATCAGCTCTTTTTTCTAAAAGGAATCTAACTGACTCTTTCCTCTTTTTTAAAACAGCTGTATGCAAAAGGGTCTCTTCAGCATTGTTCTTCTCATAAATACTTCTTCCATGCTCTAAAAGCACCTTTAAACAATCAATCCGTTCTAGAGAAACGGCCTTGTGGAGATAGTAGTCATTGTTATCTGGTGCTTCTTCAAAATCACCTGACCAATATTTGCTTGGATTTTGACAAAAGGTTGTTAAATCATCTAAATTTAAAGAGGCTTTTGGAGACTCATCACCTCTTTCTACCTCTTGAATTTTCTCTTTTTGGAAACTTGCAGAAAGAAGTACCTTCAAAGCTTCTGGACTATCAGTTACAATTGAAACAAGGATCGGATCCTTCGTCGCATCCGGGAATAGAACCAGATCACGATTTTGAAAAAGCTCGCGTAGTGATGTAAGACTCAGTGAAGATGCTAGAGGTGAACCGGTATTACTTGATTCTGTCAATTGAGTATTGGCAACCATCGAGACTATTACCGGTTTATCCATCTGACTTGAAATAACAGTCTGACCCCGAGTTCGAACAAGTTGAGTTAATAATGGGATGTCCGGTAAGACAATGGCCATGGCAATGAGAGATCTAAAGACCGGGTTGTTGGAGAGAGCTTCTGCTTTTGAAGTAAGTTCGACCTTTAACTCTCTACCTCCCAGTAAAAACCACTTGGCTAAGACAGGAATAGCGTTACTAAATTGTAGAAAAGCAGATAATCCTTCCCAAAAGACAAGAGGTCCCTCTACTTCTTTAACGATTTTTTGTCTGGTCCAAAACTCAATCAATCCGTATTCAAAGAAAAGATCATGACTAAAATCCCACTCTGTCCCATTTTGAACAACGATTCCATGGTTTTTTAACGGCTCGACCTTGAACTTTAAAGAGGCTGTCTCTTTTAAGCTCGCATGGTAGGCTGCTAGCTTCATCCACCCCTCAATGTTCATCTTGGCTTGTTTTTTGTCAAATCCCTTGACAAACCGCTTGATTAAAGTCGCCTCTAAAACCGTCTTTTCTAATGTTATAATCTGCTTCAACTCGTCTTGTTGCAGTTGAGACGCAATATTCAGATAGAATGGAATGCAAATCAGATCCATGAAAGCAGTGATCGACTCGTAAAATCGTAGATTAGGAAATGTGTCAAGCACAAGCCCCTTAGAGAGAGGCTTAACCTCAATTGTTTTTTGCTGAGAATCGATTGCTAGATCTTTTGCTGCCTGAGAAGTTAGAGTCATGACAACGGAGAGATTTTCTCTCAAAAACCTCTTGATAAAAGCCTGTGCTTTATGAAGAGGTTGAGAGAGAAGAACCTCGGCTGCATCTAGAACAACGACCTGTATTGTTTTTTCTTGCTTCAAAACTCGTAAAACCTTCGTCGTCAATTCGTTGTTTTTAATCAATTCTTCCGTGGAAAAGAAAAGATAATCCATTGATTTACGTGATTGAAGGCAACTTTTAACAAGTGCGGATTTCCCTATCCCCTTTTCTCCAGCAACGAAAAGAAGACCCTCTTGATTCATAGCAGTAGAAAGCTCTTGATTCTCCTCATTCCTCTCTAGAGTTTTCTCACCAGATCTATGATTAATCCGACCCAAGGCAGCTTTTGTTCCCCCTTGTAACTCTACTGTATCCTGAATGTGAATTGTAGTTTTCTCTATGAATTCATTTAAAACAGTCTCTGTTAGTAAAAGCACCTGCATATTCTTACGAGGGTTGGTAAACCACTCTTCAATCCCAGCATAGAGATTAATAAAAAGCTGATCTTTCTGAACTCTTCTACTCCGTTTTTTAAGCAGTAAGGAGAGTTTGTCAATAATAGATCCTATCATGTGCTCTAAGTCTTTTTGCTCCGTAACAAAATAGAATGATCTCAAAAATTCTTGGAATAGACCCTCATCGAAGGTAGGATCACTTATATACTCTCGAGCCTGAGACAAAAGAGTTTGATAAAAATTGACTCCTTTTTTGTATTCAATTTTTCCCTCTTGATCTTGAATGATAAATTGTTCGGAAAATTTTTCTTGCTGTTTGGTGCACTTTTTTAGGATAGAATCTAGAGAAGTATTGGTATAGACAATGCTTCTTATCGATTCAGATTTTTCACCTTTGTTGTCCGCTTTCCTTCTTAAGGCTAACCACCCTTCGAGAAATTTCCCAATGTGCATTTTGGCATTTTTTTCTATTTCACTTGCTTCGATATCTTGGCTATCTTTTTGCTTTTTATTTTCTGAGCGTGAATTTAAAAAAAGGCTTGCTTCAATGAGCGGTTTAAAGTACTTAACTTGGAATCCTTTAAGTTCAGTCTTCCCTTCTTTACTCTTAGACAAAATGACAATATCATCCAGATTACCAGCTCCCTTCATTTCACATCCTGCCTCGAAACAAGCCTCCTGTAATAGAAGCTCTAGCATGGTGTCAATCAAAACTAAAAACTGATACCGTGTTCCTGAATACCCCACTTTTAGAAGGTGACCCATCTTAAAGTACTTTGGCGATTTTCCACCACATGACTCAAGTGTGATCTGTAGTGCTGAAAAAGGGGGTAATTCTTTCAGTCTATTAAAGTAACCGAGTCCATTATATAAAATAGGGGTGACGGCGCCTTTATCCTTTTCAGTGGTCACCCGCGTTCCATCTCTTAAAAAAATCTGAATATTCACATTAAATAACAAATTGATAACGTCGATGGGGGTCTTAAACTTCTCCTCTTTAAGTCGACGTGAAAAAGGGATAAATCCCTTAGCCTCGTCAAGGTACTCTAGGACATATTTTTTAAAAATCTCTTCTGTGGAGCAATACTCGGTGATCTCACGATCACACTTCATAACAGCCTCATGAGCGTTCTTAAACTCCTTTTTCCCACGCGATCGAGGTGTCAATATCTTAATCAACTCTTCCGGTGTTTTCCCTTGGGTGTCTGATTCCCCTTTCTCTTCCCTAGCCTTTACAATTAGCTTCTGCCGAGCTGCTTCAGACTTATCCAATGATTCAACTAAATCAAGAAATGGCTTCGAAACAATTTTCTTGTAAGCCTCTTTTTCAGCTTCATCATCATGCATCTTAATAGATCCTAGATAAAGAAATTGCCGAATCTCAGAAGCAAATCCTTTCCGAGTTGTCTCTTCTCCAGAAGAAGCCATCAGTTTCTCAATCAGCGTTATACGCGTGAGCAAAGGGTTATCAATAGCGTAAAAAAAACAATCTCGATTACCTTCAACAGGGCTTACGGAATAGGAAACACCTTCACATAAAACCGAGGTGTCTGCTGAACTTTGGGTGGAAACATTTAATTTGAAATAGTTAAGCCCCTCTTGAGCTGGTAGTTGCCTGGCAAGTTGACAGTTTGAAGATGATGCCATGTGAAAACTCCTCTAGGGTTATTTTACTTAAGTAAATTTAGTAGAATACTTTGATTAAACTAAAATTATTTATCAATACTTAAATGGGGGCTGTAATTTTCAAAATTAAAATACATTCATCAAGATATCTCTTGAGAAATAGGACTTGCTCTGAGATTCAAGAGCCGAGGGCTTTGGTCAAAGGAACTGACATTGGAGTTAAAAAAGCTATGAGGGTGTTCTTATGAGAAAACCATCTGCGAAAATTTGACTCAGAAACGAACCTCTTTTAAAGAAAATTGAGATTTTGAAGAAAAGGCATCCTTTTCAGGCGTAGATTGATTTGAGCTCATCTCAATTTCACATCTGACTCCTATGAGATCTCCTGCTGTATTTGCAAGTGATTTCTCTAACCCTTTGGTATTTTCCTTAACCCCCCCCAAGAGGTTCTCCTCTTCTGCTTTAACAACTCTTCTTATGAGATTCTCATGTGAATACCCGGAACACAATCCGGAAGCCAAAAACTTCCGGGTATCGGCTCGGAACCAACGTATTCAAGAGAGATGAGCCCGTTTTTTCATCATTGGAGCTGTGGAATGTAGGAGAGATCGGCGAGATCAATGATACGGTAAAAATACCGGCTGCTGAGAAGAGCATCGGAGAGAGGGCCTAAGTGGAATAAGACAGGGGAAACCCCAAAACCTTTTGGAACTGCAAGAGCGGCGATTTTCGCTTCCATTGCATCGACGACTTCAAGCCCAAGTTCACGGCGGCGCATTTTAACCTCACAGACAAAGAGTGTATTCGACCTCGTTTGGACCAGATAGTCGATTTGGCACCCTTTTTTCCGGTCTGACGATTTTTGAACATATGGATTATCCATGACGATATCTTGGGCCGAAACCCCGAGCGCTTTGTAGATGAGAGATCTATTTTTCAGGAGAAGATTTTCAAGCTGAAACCCGAGCATCGGCTCCCATCCGGGCAAACTGGAAAGAGGTGTCTCTAAGAACGACCCATTTTCAATCTTTGCAAGGTTCGGTTCGATATAGTGGGTATAGAAGCGGAGGTAGTTATCAGAGAGGCGATAGAGGGTCGATTTGCCGACCTTTCCTGTTTTCAATCCCCAGTCGGGGTGCTTTGTGATGAATCCACAGATTTCAAGGGCTCTCAGATGGTGCGTCAAGACTCCACTCGAAGGGTAAGCCATCTCCTTTTGGAGAGCTCGTCGATCCCTCATCCCTTGGCTGAGAATTTTGATGATTTTTTTATAGACCTCTCCCCGAGAACTGAAGAGGTCGTTGAAGATACGGTCAAACTCATGAACCAAAAGACCATTTTTTTCAAAACAGAGCCGTTTAATATTCTCATCCGCAGTTTGGTGCACCTGAATCTGCTCGAGATACCAGGGAACTCCTCCTGTGATGCATAGGAGTTTAAAGAGATCGAGATCCGATCCCGTGAACCCGCGCAGTTTTAGCAGCAGCCTGCTCTGAGGAATCGAGAGCTCTGTTAACTCGAGATAGAGAGAGACACGACCAAAAAAAGCCGTACTATTGATGATGTTTTTGTCGATCCACGTTGAGATCGAGCCACACAGGATCAGAGTGACCAAAGGGTGGTTTTGCAAGACGAGATCCCACCACACTTTTAACTTGGAGATAAAGGTTGGATCTTTTGCCCCCATCCATGAGATCTCATCCAATAGAATAACGGTCGGTCTTTTGGTAAGACCTCGGGATAGATAGGCAAATGCATCGCTCCAGTCGACAAAGGTACAAGGAGGGAGGTGAAAGAGAGTCGTTAACTCACGGGCAAAGGCATCTCGCTGATCTTGCGCTGTGACCCCTTTCACGGGAGCTAGTCCGCTAAAAGGTAAGAAAACCTTATCTTTTCCAAACTCTTCTGCAAGGCGGCTTTTCCCAATACGACGTCGTCCTTTAATGACGACCAGAGAGGTTTGACCCGATTTTGAGAGGTCTTCCAATCTTTGTAACTCGAGGTCTCTACCAACAAAGGGTCTCATAGAGACTATGCTAGATGAGCATCTCATTTGCGTCAATCCATTATGCTCAAGATTGACAATTATCAATTTTGAGCATAATAAAATAGAGAGATCTGCTCGACTTTGAATAGAATCCTTCGGATTGAACTGAAGAGAGCACCTTTGCCTTTAGAAGCACCAGGCAAAATAAATTTAGCTCTTTAGGGGAAGAGCTTTCCCTGTCCAACAGGGGAAAGCCGACGGCTACTCTTCTTGGGGGAGCTCTTTTCATGAGTGGAAGGATTACCCTCTAAAGAAGGTTTCTTTTTAAGAAGGAGATTTAACTTTTTAGCTAACTCTAGTTTATTTGGGGTCTCATAATTGCCAGATTTATTTTTTACAATGCCAAGATCTATTTTTACCAGGCGATGAATTTCTTCAAAACCCCTCTGTAGTACTGACAATTGAATTTGTGCCTCCACCTCTCTTTTTGTACACTCTTTCATTGTCTTTTTAAAACAATTTCTAGCATTGCTGATATGACTTAGTGGACTTTGATAGGAAATAGATGAAGCTTGTAGAATCAGATCTCTTGCCTCCTCATAGCCCTCATCGCAAAATGTCTTTGAGATGGTCTTTAAAAAATAGGGAGGCGGAAACTTGGATACAGCTGTGAGAATTTTCTTTTTCCAAGGAACTCCACCACTGGCAAGATTGCAATATTTTTTATAAGCTTTGGTATATTTTCCCATTGATAGGATATAACGGTTCAGCTCTTCTTCTTTGATATCTTTCTTTGACTGAGTGATATCTTGATGATTTTTAATGAAATTTTCCCAATGTGAAGTTAAAGAATTCAGGCTATTTTTTCCTTTTTCTAGTCTCGATAGAATAATTTCAAGGCGCTTTTGGTAGTGTTGTACAAATTCATTAAGCGCCTCTTTATATGTTTTTGAATTTTCATAACACCCATTTGCAATTCGATCTTCTTTGCTTCTTAAATTATCTATTCCAAATTCTAGATGATAATCGATTCGATTCGATGCTGTTGGGTTTTCAAAGGTGGCATTTCTCTGCATCTCAATTTCTGTTCCGATAAAAGACCCTTTTCGCTCTTCAGGCTTGATTCTAGAAAAAATCGATTGAATACAGGCCAGCCGCTTTAATGGATCTGTTGATGAAAGAGTCGTGGTCTCTTCTTCTGTTATGAGAAACCGACAATTAAGATACTCTTGCTCATCTTCTGTCAGGTTTGAGAATTGTTGTTGATTGATTTTATTCTTAAAGCTATCCAACCGATTGTCATAGAGTGTCGGAGAGAGAGCAGCATGAGCTGCTTGTTTTTTGCCACCGCTGGATTGGGCTCCATTATATTTTGTAGCTCCCCTACTGGTTTTACATCCCCAAGCAGAAGAGACTATAAAGCGAAAGGCTGAGAAAGCAATGCGCGCGATGACCTTTATTTCTGTATTTTCCTCGATTACATGAGAAGAAAGGTTATTTAGATCATATAAGCTTCCTGTTTTACTAGGAGATAGAATACGTCGAGTTTTTTTATGAGATCGTTCACGGCTGTTTTCTGTCTCTTCTCTTTGTTTCCTTTTATTGATTGTAGAGTCTCTTACATATGAGTTAACTTGCTTGTATGACTCACCATCTGTTGACTTAATTGCATTTATTTGTGTTTTCATTATTATTATGTTAATTTATTTGCATATTTTTATCAAATTGCAAATAAATTTAATATAGCTATAGAATTAACATTTTTTAACTACATTAGTCTATGAATAACAATCATATTTTTCTCTTACATTTTTGAAAAAATATCACCACCCTTCAAAAGAGGTCAAAAAAATGTAATTGATACTTAAATTATCCGCGATGCAATGCCAAAACGAATCTTTACTTTTAATCATAGAAAGAGTTAAGGTCTGTAACCTTTTTATAATCAGGAGGAAAGAGATGGATGTTCCATGTATTGCGGATCGAACAGGAGCGTTTATTTTTAAAATTCAACAAAACGATACCTCACCTTCTCAGTTACAAACCGAAGGACACAGGCTCTATGAAGAGATCGTCGAGTGGCTTCCCCAAAATAAAGACCACAAGCGATGTGATAAGGTTATTTGTCTTGTTTTTTCTCTCTTACAAGAACTTCACAAGCGTGACATCTTGCAAAGAGAGAATTTCATGGCTCTATCAGAGAGAGTTGTGAGTGTCATCCAAAAAACACAAGGTCCTCAGATAGATCGAGATTTAGCGACTTTTCTCAAGTTATGGATGAAAGGTACGTATATCAAATCTCAACGCTGAGGAATCGAGAGCTCGGTTAACTCTAGTAGCCAGAGGTACGCCCAAAAAAAGATATACCATTGATTTTCAAAGGGTTAAGAGAAGTAGTCGAGGTGCATTGCTTTCCGGACTTCGGCAAGTGTCTGCTCTGCAACAGAGGAGGCATGGGCCGTTCCTCTCCGCAGGATATTCCACACCTCTCCCTTATCTTGTGCAAACTGGAGACGGCGCGTCCGGATAGGGGCGAGAAAGGTCTGGATCACCTCATTTAACCGCTTTTTGACGATTGAGTCGCCAAGACCGCCTCGTTGGTAGTGGTCTTTGAGGCTTTGCACAGCCTCTTGGTCGGGATCAAAAATCGTGAGGTAGTCAAAGACGGGGTTCCCCTCGATTTTCCCGGGGTCTTCGACACGGAGATGGGTCGGATCTGTATACATCCCTTTGATCTTCTTCTCGATCACCTCAGGGGCATCGGAGAGGAAGATCGCATTCCCCAGCGATTTTCCCATTTTTGCCTTTCCATCGGTCCCCGGAAGGCGCGCCATTTTGGGGATGATCGCCTCGGCTTCGATAAGAAGGTCGGTTTTATAGATCCGATTGAAGTGGCGGACGATCTCATTTGTCTGCTCAATCATCGGTAGCTGATCTTCACCAACGGGGACGAGCTCGGCCTTGAACGCCGTGATATCGGCGGCTTGGCTGATCGGGTAGACCATAAACCCGGCGGGAATCGCCTCCCCAAACCCTTTTTGCTGAATCTCTTGCTTGACGGTCGGGTTGTGCTTTAGTCTGTTCCAGGTCACGAGATTTAGGTAGTACATCATGAGTTCAGGAAGAGCCGGAATCAGCGACTGGATGAAGATGGTGGTCTTGAGCGGATCGATCCCCACGGCGAGATAGTCGAGGGCAACCTCCAAGATATTCTCGCGGACCTTCATCGGGTTTTCTGCGTTGTCTGTCAAGGCTTGAGCATCGGCAATCATCACAAACTGTTGGCAGCTCTCTTGAAACTCAATCCGGTTTTTGAGCGATCCGACAAAATGGCCCAGGTGGAGAGGGCCTGTCGGACGATCTCCTGTCAGTACGATTTTCTTATTCATATTCTCTTCTTTACAAGGTCTCTTGTTGCATTATGTTGCAAAATCTGTATATTCCTAGCAATGGATATTGAGAAATTCAAGATCATTAAGAGTCTTGGAAAAGGGGGAATGGGAGAGGTTTTCCTCGTCGAAGACCGCGCTTGCCAAAGGGAAGTCGCCTTGAAGCGGATCCGCGAAGATCTCTCTAAATTCAAGTCGATTCAAACTCGATTTCTTCGAGAGGCCCATATCGCCGCCAAACTCAATCACCCCTCCATCATTCCGATCTTTTCGATCTCTGAAGAGAAGAATTCGATTTACTACACGATGCCGTATGTCGAAGGTTCGACGCTCAAACACATCCTCAAAGAGGCTCAGGTCTCCGAACAAAAATGGGGAATCCCCGCCCTCATGCGGATTTTCACCAACGTCTGCCAAGCCGTTGCCTATGCCCACTCGAAAGAGATTCTCCATAGAGATCTAAAACCGGAGAATATGATCGTAGGGAGATTTGGAGAGGTCCTCATCCTCGATTGGGGGCTGGCCATTGAGCGGGGACAAAAGGAAGAGGTGATGGAAGAGATCCCCGTCTCCAGTGAACTCACACGCCCTGGAAAAATCGTCGGAACACTCGCTTATTTAGCCCCTGAACGGGCTCGGAATGAGCCGGCTTCTGAGCAGACAGATCTCTACGCCCTAGGAGTCATTCTCTATCAGATTTTGACTCTCAAGCTCCCCTTCAAAAGAAGCGTCATCGAGACGTTCCAAAAGATGTGGTCCTATGAAGAGCTGGTCGACTCTATTGAAGCAGCCCCCTATCGAGATATCCCTCATGCTTTAAATCAAATCGTTAAAAAAGCGCTCCACCCCTCTACAGATCTCCGGTACAAAAAAGTCTCCGATCTCATTCTCGATCTGGAGACTTTTTTAGAAGGGAAACCCGATTGGAGGGAGGTTCAAGAGCTCAGAATCGACCGGAAAGACGATTGGGAGTTTCAGGAGAATATTCTCCTTGCAAAACACATTGCGATCACTCGAGCGACGAAGGTGATGGAGTGGGTCAATCTCATGATTTCCAAAGCCTCTTTTTCAGGGAATACGAAGATCGAAGCGTTGATCCGGCTTAAGCCCACCAGCCAAGGGATTGGATTTCTCCTGAATGTCCCAGAGGCTGAGGAGAGGAGTGATCTCATGGATGGGTACTGCATTTGGATCGGGGCAGAGCAAAATCCCGGCTGCAGGGTTTTCCGCTGTAATATCGAAGTTCTCCAAGAGAAACACGTCTATCTACAACCAGAGACCTGGCATAAAATTCGGATTGAAAAGACGGAGAGCCATGTTCGCCTCTACATCAATAACACCCTCCGGTGTCACTACATCAGCCACTCTCCTCTTGCGGGAACACATGTAGGACTCCTTTTCCGAGATGCCGACCTCGAAGTCTCCCGTTTGAAACTCTTCTTAGGGAGTCAGAATGTCACGGTCAGTTGTTTGGCCATTCCCGACAGCTTTCTCGCTGAAAAAAATTACACCAAGGCGTTGACCGAGTACAGGCGAATTGCCTTCTCCTTTCCAGGTCGTACCGAAGGGCGTGAAGCCCTTTTTCGGGCTGGGATCACCCTCCTTGAAGCGGCCATTTCAAACCCACGCGGTCGAAGCGAATATTTCAGCGCAGCGCTCGATGAGTTTGGGAAGTTGAGAGGGACTGCAGGAGCCCCCTTGGAGTATTTGGGAAAGTCCCTCGTCTACAAGGCGATGGGAGAGATTGAAGAAGAGGCAAAATGCATGGAGCTCGCCATCCGCAAGTACCCCGAGCACCCTCTTTTTTCACAGCTTGTGGAACACCTCATTTTTCGGCTTCACGAATCGTCGCTACGCGACCGTATTGCAGCCTACCACTTTGCGCTCCTCTCTCTTCGTCACCTTCCTCAGATATTTGCAAATCCCGACCATCGGAAATTGATTGAAAGCCTGCAGGCCAATTGGGAAATCATCCCCTTTCTCCATCGAGAGGCGGTGATGGTTCAACTCGCCTTTTTCTTAGACCGGCCATATACACTTCTTGAAATCATCGAGACGGGCCCTTGGATTGAAGACGCCTTTTATGCCCTCTTAGAACTCGGGTATGTCGCACTCGTGAAAGAAAATAAGCGTCTTGCAGAGTTCCCTGAAATTCAAATAGCCTTAGCGGGAAAGCTAGCCGCTTCCCAATCGATGACGCTGCAAGCCTACCTCATTCCTCTCTCCACCAACCTCAATCGATCGGAGGAGATCCTCTTGTATGCCCACGACACCTATTGGAGACTCTGGGCCCAGCTTACCCTCCACAGGTGGGAAGAGGCCGAGATGGCTTTTAGACACTACCCTCCCGACCACCTCGTATCGGAAAACTCCCCCATGTTCCCTCTCTTTGGGTGTTACCTTTGGGCTACCCAAGGAGAAAAAGTGGGGAAGGCCCATTTTAGCACGGTTCTCGACACCCCCTATCCCCGAACTTCAGCCTTTCTCGGCCACTTCCTAACGGGTAAAATCAACTTAAAAAAAGGGTGGATTGAAAATGCCTTCCTCTGGGAAAAGATGGAGCTTCTCCGTCAACTGATTCTATTCAGCCACTGTGTTGGCAACTTAAGCGATGTTGCTCTCTACACAAAAAAGCTGAAGAGACTCACCTCTCAACGGAAAAGCTGAAGAGTCCGATTCTCAGCTAGCGCCATCGGGGGAAATTGCATTGGGCATCCAGCTGAAATTATAATAATCTGGATAGAGAGGCTGATAGGCGTGTGGAGCCTGAGGTTGGGGCTCAGCAATAGGTGTCATATCTTCACAATACCCTTCCAAGCGGGCAAGTGCATAAGAGGCCCAGCCTTGCGTTTTATTATCGCGATCTCCAAGGATTAAAAGATGGTGTTTACGGAGATCTTCTCGATCACTCCAGTGCAACCCTAAGTTGAGCATTGCAAAAGCTGTCGAGGCAATGGTTGCGACTTTCCCAACCGTGATAAGCCCTGGTACAGCGAAAAAGCCTCCAGTAGCAAGAGCGCCCCCTCCGATCAATAACCCAACGCACGCATAGAGATAGTTGTTGACCTTGGAAGTGTTGATCTCATTGATCCTCGTCTGATTGCGAATAACTTCTTGAAGTGCTCCCTTGATGCTAGGCATCGAGTTGGAGTCATGACTTGGCATCGGGAGCCGATTCACAACACGATCGGCCTGTTTTGTGCATTCATTTGTCTCTTGTTGCCGGGTAGAGAGTTTGTATACATATCCAAATAAGAATGAAGCGCCCATCGTTATCGCTGAGCCTATGATCGCAGCAATCCTAGCCGCCCTTTTTTGCTCTTCCTTTTCTCCTTTTTCCACAGATGGAATCGACCGGTGAGTTATAGATGGTCTGACGCACGCTCTGGTCTATCCAGTTCCAGCTCCGATCGGTGTAGTTCACTACGACAGGGCTATGTTCTGGTAAAATTTTTTGACTCCGCGCAGCACTTGTCGCTTGGTTTTCTGAAGCATTGAGAAAATTTCCAGCTTCGCGCTCGACTGTTGTGATATAGGAAATCCAATAACTTTTAGTATTGACCGACATAACACCCCTTATTTTGGGAGCAAAATATAGCAACTATTCAGTTATAAATCAAGATTAATTTCAGAAATAAAAAATATTTAATTAGTGAAAAATTACTCCTTGATTCAAATAGATTAAAAAAAATCAACTCCAGAGTTAGAGACTAAAAGTCCGGGGGCAGTTCAAGCCCTTCTATAATCGTATGATCTCGTTGATAAACCCAATCCATGCCCCCCTCCCCAGCTGATAAAAATACCTAGAGATTACCTTGCTTTTTAAGAAAAAATCTGATAAGATTTCTTATAACTTAAATAAAGAGGTGGAGAATGATAGATTCTGAAATGCCATGCAGATTTGTAGGTCTAGAAAGTTTAATGACAAGCGAAACTCACTCCCCAACTCTTGTTCTTAAGGATGAGCTTTTTCAGGAAAATACAATCTCTTTGGGAGAGAATGAAAAAATTTACTTACAAAGCCATCTGACAGAGTCCAGAGATCGATTAGACCTAAGTCAACTTTCAGTTAAAGTTGGATTGCAGTGGATAGCTTCTTTACCTGGATTGAACTTAACCGTTGATGGAGAAGCCTTTCCATTTCCAACCACCCTTGATTTATCAAAAAAAGATCTAACGCAAATTCTGGGACAAAAGAAAGGCCTCACCTTAAAATGGATAAAACCTATTGGAACTACCTTTGATGCCTTGTGTTCCTTGATTTCCGAAGGGACTCTTAGTCATCTTAAAATTCAAGGGGGCTTTGCAATTTCTGAAGAGCAGCTTTCTCAGCTTAAAATGGCTTTATTAAAGACAAAAAATATTATCTCTCTAGAATTGTCCAATCTTCGCTTAAATGAAAACCAAATGGTCGAGATTGCTGCAGTTATTCCTCAGCTTAAACAATTACAAATTCTAACTCTTAAAACCAATGGGATGAGTAATAAGGTCATAGCTCCTTTCAAAGCTATGATTGAAAAATGCCCTTGGATATCTCAGATAAAACTCACCTTTTCTTTGTTTAACTCTTTAGAATCTCTTGGAGATCTTCATCAATCAGCTGTAAAAAAACAAATCGTTGATCTCAGTCAGAATTGGGATTTTGCTTAACTGTGCGTAACATATCTACAACGATTTCTAAAAAGAATAGGTCAATCTCTTGAACATATTTTTTTCCTTCAGGACTCTTTAAAAACTCAGGAGACCCAAAAGTGTTCAAAATAATTTTATTATCTGGATGAATAACGCTAGCCAGCATCATCCGTGCTTGAGTCTTATAATTCTCATGAGGCTGCTCAACGATATCTGCAGCAACATTTGCCATAGGCTTTTCAGCAAACTCTTTCGGAACCCCGTATTCTCGACATGGATAGGCGATATCATTGACAATCGGTCGAGGAACGAGGATTTGAAATAACGCCCCCAGGTCCCGGTTTCCTCTTTTATCAAAGTCAATTTCTCGTTGCTGAGGCGTCCTCTGGTTTTTTACCCACCTTTGACTCTGGCTTTGAACATTTGCAATCAAATTCTCAAAACGGGCTGCGTACATCTTTCGAGTGGTTGGTTCGGGAAGAAGCTTAAAGTGATTGCAAAACATGTTAAAAAAAGCCTCTCCAGAAGGAGGATAAACACTCTTATTCGTAATAAAAAGATCCCATGTCCCTTCTCCACATGTCCACCCATTCGTAAATAAAGAAGGATTAACACATAAAACAAAATTCTTAATTAGTTGATTGTGATCATCAAAATCAGGATGGCTCATTTCACTAACTGGAAATTTTGAAATTTTTGTTGGATATTCAGAGACTTTCCCTTGAGGAAAACGGAACCAGTGGATCTGTTCGTACTTACCTCTCAACGAATCTTCCTGCAAAGAAGTTTTAGTATTCATTGTACTGAGATATCGATTGACTGCATATCCAAAGAGAAACACGATCGTATTCATAGAATGGTAAAAAGGGGTATGAGTATCGGTCTTTTCAGTTTCCATTTGGATCACATTGTCAACTACCCTTTTAAGGATTGGATCTGCTTTCATCTCCTGTTGAATCCCCATGAGTCCATGTTTGATAGGGGCTTGTTGAGGATCTGTGTTTAAAAATGCACTTGTTGCAGATTGAGGAGGGCCCATTGTTTGTCGTGAGAGATATTTAAAGTCACTTAAAAGAGCTTCTTGTTTACCTTGCTCGATCTCTTCATAAGAGGCTTGTTGATGCACTTGAGGAAGGACAGCCCTGACAATTTCGCAAACCCTTTGATGTTGAAACAGATTCTGCCCTACAGGGAAAGTGGTAAGGATAGCCCACTCTCGGCATACTAGATGGGCTTTAACTATGCTCTTCTCATCCAATAGACTCAGAATCTTTGCAACCAGGGGTATTGGCAACTCATGAAAGAATTTCTTCTCTTGTGGCATGGACTTTGTTAAAGAATTCCCTGTTTGTTGTGGCGAATTATTTGCAAATCCACTTTTTGTAACAGAAGACATATTAATTATCTCATTATTATTTATCTTAATTATAAATAAATATTATTTTAAAGTAAACACTTTAACTAAAATTAACAACTATATAGTAAAAACAAGTAATCTATTGAAATAAATGTCTTTTTAACCGTCTCAATTACAACCGCTTAAAACTCGAACAGCCTCAAGAGACTCCGCTAAAGCATAGCTTTATTTTCGAGAGTTGGTATAAACTGCCTCTATGCAAGAGTTTTTCAAAGCTTTTCCAAAAGCGTATGAGCCTAAAGAGGTTGAAGAGAAGTGGTACCGGTTCTGGGAAGAGGGCGGCTATTTCAAAGCCTCCGCGGGTTCGAAGAAAGAGCCGTATGCCATCGTCATCCCTCCCCCTAATGTGACCGGTGTTCTCCACATGGGACACGCCCTCGTCACCACCCTTCAAGACATCTTGATCCGGTGGAAGCGGATGTGTGGATTTGAAACGGTCTGGGTGCCGGGAACCGACCATGCCGGTATTGCAACACAAACCGTGGTTGAACGGCATCTCATGAAGACTCTTGGCAAGAGACGGTCTGACTTTACGCGGGAAGAGTTTCTAGGCCATGTCTGGAAGTGGAAAGAAGAGAGCGAAACGCAGATCCTCAATCAGATTAGAAAAGTCGGCTGCTCCTGTGATTGGAGTCGGCTGAGCTTTACCATGGATCAGCCGCGTAGCCGAGCTGTGAGAACGATGTTTAAAAAGATGTTCGACGCAGGTCTCATCTACCGTGGTGACTACCTCGTCAATTGGGACCCTGTCACACAAACAGCTCTGGCCGACGATGAGATCGAGTATGAAGAGAGAGAATCGGCCCTCTATTACATCCGGTATCCGATTGTGGGAACCGATCAACACTTGACCGTTGCAACCGTTCGCCCTGAGACACTCCTGGGTGATACGGCCGTTGCCGTCTCCCCTCAAGACCTCCGCTATCAGTCTTTGATCGGCAAGCAGATCACCATTCCGGTTGTCAACCGACAGGTCCCCATTATCGGCGATACGTCGATCGATCCCGAGTTTGGAACAGGGGTTGTCAAAATCACCCCTGCCCACGATCCGAATGACTACGAGATGGCACAGCGACACAACCTTCCGATGATCAACATCATGACACCAGATGGGTGTATCAATGAAAATGGGGCCGAGTTTCAAGGTCTCCCAATGGAAGAGGCGAGGAAAGCGGTTGTCGAAAAGCTCAAATCGTTAGGATTGCTCGAAAAGGTCGAAAAATACACCAACCGCGTGGGTCTCTCCTACCGCTCCAAAGCGGTGATTGAGCCGTACCTTTCGAAGCAGTGGTTTGTCAAACTCTCCCATTTTAAAAATAAGCTCATCGACCTTGTTCAGTCGAAAAAGGTGAAGCTGATTCCCGATTCGTTCGAAAGCACCTATTTCCATTGGATCTACCACCTCCGCGACTGGTGTATCTCTCGCCAAATTTGGTGGGGCCACCGGATCCCCATTTGGTACAACACCGAAGACCCTTCTCAAATGGTCTGCTATGCCGAAGAGGGAATCCCTCCAGAGGTCGCTCAAAACCCGACCCTTTGGGAACAAGATACCGATGTCTTAGATACGTGGTTCTCATCGGCTCTTTGGCCATTTGCCGTTTTTGGATGGCCTGAGAAACCCCCCGATCTAGAAAAGTTCTACCCAACCTCTTGCCTTGTGACGGGGCATGATATCTTGTTCTTCTGGGTTGCCCGCATGATTGTGATGGGAGACTACGCGTTTGATAAACCTCCCTTCTCCGATGTCTTTCTCCATGGCCTCATCTTTGGAAAGTCGTATTGGAGCCATAACGGTGATGGATCGATCACCTACCTCACCGCACAAGAGAAGCTCAAGTACGATCTCGGGGAGCCGACTCCTCCAAAAGTTCACAGTCGCTGGGAAAAGATGTCTAAATCGAAGGGGAATATCATCGACCCTCTCGAGATCATCGCCTCGTACGGGACGGACGCGATGAGAATGGCCCTCTCCTCCGCAACGACACATGCGCGGCAAATCGATCTCGACCGTCGCCGTTTTGAAGAGTTTAAAAACTTTGCCAACAAAATCTGGAATGGAGCTCGCTTTGTTTTCATGAACCTCGAAGGGCTTGAAGTCAAAGACGGCATCGATATGGACATCCTCAAGCTCGAAGATCGATGGATCCTCTCCAAGCTCAACCGGATCATCCAAGAGGTCAATGCCTCTCTCTATGAGTACGCCTTTGATAAAGCGACAAAAGCCGCCTACGACTTTTTCTGGAAAGAGTTCTGCGCCTATTATGTCGAGATGGTCAAGCCGGTGTTATTCGGCAAACTCGGGACGGCGGAAGAGAAAAGCAACAAACAGAAAATCTTGCTCGTCGTGCTCTGCAATGCGGTCCGACTCCTCCACCCGATGGCCCCCTTCATCACCGAAGAGCTCTTCCAGCTTCTTAAACCTTTTGCAGGTGGCTTTCCACAAGATCCGTATACCAAAGAGACAGTGGAGGCGCTTCAGGCTCCCGCCTGTATCGTTGCCCCTTATCCCAAGGTGATTCGAGAACTCGACATCGACTCTGCCATTGAAGATGAATTTGCAGCCGTTGACGGGCTTGTGCACGCCGTTCGGAATATCCGCGCAGAGATGCAAATTCCACCAGGGGTTACCACCGCTCTCTATATTGTGGGGAGTGAGAAACAGCTTCAATTTGTGCAGAAACACGAGACCATCCTCAAAGCCCTTGTTCGTCTAGAGACCCTTCAACTGATGACAACGGAAAAGCCGCTGACCTTTGCCTCCACAGCCGTGGTGGGAGATCTCAAGCTCATCATCCCCCTCCCCTTGGAGATGCGAGAAAGAGAGAGAACTCGACTCACAAAAGAGCGAGATAAACTGATCGAACAACAAAACACCACTCGAATCCAGCTTGGGAACCGAGATTTTCTCGCGAAAGCCCCTCCGCTGTTGATCGATAAGCTGAAAACCAATCTTGATCAAGCTGAAAAAGAGCTCTATCTGATTGGTCAGAAGTTAGAAAATCTTTAGTTTTTTCTTGAGTTTTGCCATTTTGATACCATGACACTACTTACACCGCGAAAAATCAAAGAGACCTTCCCCCTGACAGACTCTCAAAGGGAGTTTGTTCAAAAAAGTCGTCAAACCGTGCAACAGCTGATCACAGGGAGAGATTGTCGTCTAGCCATCGTCATGGGCCCTTGTTCCATCCACGACCTCTCATCTGCCCTTGAATACGGCGAGAAGATTAAACTCTTGGCCGATGAGATTCAAGCGGGGGCTTTTCCCGTCATGCGGGTCTATATCGAAAAACCCCGCACGATCACAGGATGGAAAGGGCTCGCCTACGACCCTCATCTCGATGGATCCAACGACATTCAAACGGGGATTTTTTGGGTCCGTGAGCTTTTCTTAAAACTCACAGATCTCGCCATCCCTATCGCCACAGAGGTATTAAACCCCCTTTTTCTTCCGTATATCGAAGATCTCATCTCCTGGGGATTTATAGGAGCTAGAACCTCTGCCTCACAGCCTCACCGTGAAATCGCCTCCTATCTCCCCTTTCCTATCGGCTTTAAAAATAGTCCTGATGGGAATATCGACCAGGCGATTCACGCCATGGTCGCAGCCTCGGCTTCCCACCGGTTTCCCCATATCGACAACGACGGGACCCTCTCTTTGCATAAGAGCGAAGGGAATCCCTATACCCATGTCGTCCTCCGCGGAGCCCATACACATATCAACTACGATAGGCAGTCGATCGCGAGAACCGTCGAAACAATGGCAACACACAGCCTGAAAAATCGGATCTTAGTCGACTGCTCCCATGGAAACTGTCAAAGAGAGTATACCCAGCAAAAAGAGGTCTTCTCCGCCGTCCTTGAACAGTTTAAGAGAGGGAATCAAAAAATTCTCGGGATGATGTTGGAGAGTAATCTCGAAGAGGGGCACCAATATTTTTCTGAAAACTCCACCTCCCTCAAACAGAGGGTCTCGATTACCGATCCGTGCCTAGGTTGGTCTGAGACAGAAACCTTGGCTCGCTCTTCCCTCAGAGTATCTTAAATTCTACAGAGGCATAGAGAAGTCGATATCGGCACCACGACCTTGATCTGCCTCAAAAACCACTATAGCCCAATATAGCTTTGGTAGCCCCATTTGCCCGCGGTATTTGTCAAAACCACAAAGGAGTTGCTCTCCCCTCTTCCTTCTGAAAAATTGACGCTAATCACCCCTCATCTAGCCAACCTGCAAGATCTGCTGGTTCAAGTAATGGTTGGGGCAGCTATGACATTGGGAACTTCTTCGAATCCCCTTCCAAAAACAGAAAAATATTCCATAGAAAAGGTCTACCGGAATAGGCTCCTTGAATTAAAAACATACTTTGCTAAATTTGTAAAAAATATTGCAATGAATTTTAAAGTTTCTGTAGCATGTATCCCAATTAAATAATTGGGGATTAGATATGGTGAATAGTGTCCATTTTTTTCTTTTAAACACGGATCATGCACGGGACTACATCCCCTTGGTAAGCACCCTTACTAGCCTAGATGGGTTGTTCCAAAAATACGTGGCCCCTCATTTCAAGAATCCAAAAACCATTACCGACAACCACAACTACACATCTTTACAAAACAAATCTTTTTTGCGTCATGTCGTTCTTTTGTTTCCCTTCATTGGCAATATCACCGTTGCCCTTTATGATTTCATGAATAGATACAACGACAAAAACTTTATGCTCGCCGCCATTCGGCAAGATGCCTCGGCGCTTAAATATGCCAGCGATGATCTTAAGAATAGCAAAGAGATTGCTCTTGCTGCGATTCGAATCGATAGCGCAACCCTCCAATACACCGGTAATAAGCTTAAGGATAGCAGAAAATTCATGCTTGCTGCTACTCAGATAAATCCCTCAATACTCCAGTATGCAGGCGATAAACTCAGGGACAACAGTGAGTTCTTCCTCGCTGCTATTCGGATAAATCCCTTAACACTCCAGTATGCGGACGATAAACTCAGGGACAACAGTGAGTTCTTCCTTGCCGCTATTCGGATAAACCCCTTAACACTCCAGTATGCGGACGATAAACTCAGGGATAACAGAGAATTCTTCCTTGCCGCTATTCGGATATATCCCTTCGCACTCCAGTATGCTAGCGATAAACTCAGGGATAACAGAGAGTTCTTCCTTGCTGCTATTCGGATCAATCCCTTTGCACTCCAATATGCGGACGATAAGCTCAAGAATAACAGAGAGTTCTTCCTCGCTGCTGTTCAGGTAAACCCCTTTGCACTCCAACATGCCAGCAATGAGTTCAGAGACGATGACAAGATCGTGCTCACCGCTGTTCAGAAAAATCACTTAACACTTCAGTATGCAGGTGATAAACTCAAGAATAACAGAGAGTTCATCCTCGCCGTTATTCAGATAAACCCCTTAGCACTCCAATATGCCAGTAACGAATTCAGAGACGATGAAAAGATCGTGCTCGCCACTGTTCAGATAAATCCCTCAATACTCCAGTATGCGGGCGATAAACTCAGAGATAACAGAGAATTCATCCTTGCTGCTATTCAAATAAATCCATTTACACTCGAACATGCTAGCGATAAGTTCAAAGACGACGAAAAGATCGTCCTTGCTGCTGTTCAGAGAAATGGCGTGGCTCTCCAGTATGCCAGTAATAAGCTTAGGAGTAATAAACAATTCACCCTTATTGCTGTTCAGAAACATGGCAAGACTCTTTACTATGCCAGAGATGAATTCAAAGATGATAAAGAGATCGTGCTTGCTGCTATTCAGAGAGATTATTCAACGCTCCAGTATGCCAGTGACAAGCTCAAAAACAACGAAGAGATCGTGCTTGCCGCCATTCGGATAAGTGGCGCAGCTCTCCAATATGCCAGTGATGATCTCAAAAATAACAGAGAGTTTATACTCGCCGCTGTTCAGGTAAATCCCTTTGCACTCCAACATGCCAGCAATGAGTTCAGAGACGATGACAAGATCGTGCTCACCGCTGTTCAGAAAAATTACTTAACACTTCAGTATGCGGGTGATAAACTCAAGAATAACAGAGAGTTCATCCTCGCCGTTATTCAGATAAACCCATTAGCACTCCAATATGCCAGTAACGAATTCAGAGACGATGAAAAGATCGTGCTCGCCACTGTTCAGAAAAATAGCGAGACTCTCCAGTATGCGGGCGATAAACTCAGAGATAACAGAGAATTCATCCTTGCTGCTATTCAAATAAATCCATTTACACTCGAACATGCTAGCGATAAGTTCAAAGACGATGAAAAGATCGTGCTCGCCACTGTTCAGAAAAATAGCGAGACTCTCCAGTATGCGGGCGATAAACTCAGAGATAACAGAGAATTCATCCTTGCTGCTATTCAAATAAATCCATTTACACTCGAACATGCTAGCGATAAGTTCAAAGACGATGAAAAGATCGTGCTTGCTGCTATTCAGAGAGATTATTCAACGCTCCAGTATGCCAGTGACAAGCTCAAAAACAACGAAGAGATCGTGCTTGCCGCCATTTGGATAAGTGGCGCAGCTCTCAAATATGCCAGTGATGATCTCAAAAACAACGAAGAGATCGTGCTTGCCGCCATTCGGATAAGTGGCGCAGCTCTCAAATATGCCAGTGATGATCTCAAAAATAACAGAGAGTTTATACTCGCCACTGTTCAAGAACATTTCTTAACACTTCAGTATGCTAGCAATGAGTGCAAAGACGATGAAGAGATCGTGCTTGCTGCCATTCAGAGAAGTGGCTTTTCTCTCCAATATGCCAGCGACAGGCTCAAAAATAACAAAGAATTCATGCTTGCTGCGATTCAGATAGATAGCTTGGCACTTGACTATGCCAGCGATGAGCTCAAAGACGATGAAGAGATTGTGCTTACCGCCATTCAGAAACATAGCGCAGCTCTCGGCTATGCCAGCGACAAGCTCAAGAATAACAGAGAGTTCATCCTCGCTGCCGTTAAGAAAAATTCGTTAGTATTCCGGTATATCAGCGACGAGTTCAAGAACGATGAAGAGATCAAGGCTGCTACCCGATAAGACTTTACAAATGACTGGGCTCGTTATGGGGTTTGCAGAATATCGGTTAAGTTGATTAACTCAACCCAAAGCTGGTGCTTCCACTGATGATAAACCCGGTTATCAGCCGTTACCATCTCAGCTCTATAGGTGAGAAGTCCGCCTGTTTGATCGAACTCTTCATCGATGAGCGTGTAGACCTCGTATCCCAAACGACTTTTGATCGGATAGATCACGGTTCTCTCCGTATGGTTTTTATAGACAGCTTGAAAAACGATCTGAGGGTTCTTCCTCAAAAGTTCAGGTGGGACTGCCCACTGTAAGACGACTTTTTGCCCCCTTGGGGGATGGGCTTGACGGGGATCGGGTGTGGCAACATGAGTACTGGCTAGATAAGAGGCATCGACGGCCACCTGTCTAAGGGAGAGGTAATACTTCTCACACCCCGTAAGGAAGAGTAGGCAGAAAAGAGCGGGGAGAATAAAATGTTTATCCATGGCTGAATCGGTTGCAACTATTCTTTTTAAAGGTGACAAAGTCCTTCTCATTCAACGGAGAGATATTCCCGTTTGGGTCTTGCCTGGAGGGGGTATTGAGCCGGGAGAGTCCCCTGAAGCCGCCGCTTGTCGAGAGATGGAAGAGGAGACCGGATGTCATGTTGAGATCTCTCGAAAAATTGCCATCTATACTCCTAGAAACAGACTTGCCAAAGTAACCCATCTCTATGAGGTTAAGCTGAAAAGCGGTTTTTTGAAAACAGGAAATGAGACAAAAGACCTACAATTTTTTCCACTAGAGGCACTTCCTCGACATCTACCACCACCCTATGGCCATTGGATCTCCGATGCCGCTGCCCATCATCCGCATATTCTCTATAAAGAAGTCGCGGGCGTCTCGTATCTTATTCTCCTTAAACTCCTCCTGCAGCATCCAATTTTAGTCAGCCGTTTTCTGCTGACCAAAATCGGAATCCATCTCAATACCTAAAAGAGTCGTCCTGCTTTTAGTAAATGAGGAGAAGGGCAAAGACAAAGGCAAAGAGCGAGAACGACTCTACAATTCCGAGCGCTGCAAAACATTTACCGATGATAGCGGGCTGCTTTGCCGAGGCTTGAATTCCCGAAGCCGCGCACATTCCTTGATAAATCGAGGAGATCATCAATGCCAGACCTACAGAGAGGCCGATTCCGATTCCCGACATTTCAGAGAGTGTTCCAGCTTTGATACTATCCCGCATCAGAAGCATGAGAACAAAACCATAGATGGATTGCGAGGCCGCCATCGCGGACATCCCGATGAATTTTCCATGATTCTCTTCTACACGACTCATCACCGCGTGAGAGGCCATCCCTCCAATACCACATCCAATTGAACTGCCGATACAGCCAAGCCCTAAAACAAGAGCAGGACCGATCATTCCATAGTCCATAACCGAACTCCTTTTCGGAGGACTATACCATAAGCTCTCGAGGAGTTTCAATCCCCTTTTTACACCGAAATGAACCGAAGGATCAAGAGGGAAGGAAAGGAGGGTTGGGTGAGAATTTTGCAGCGAGCAAGCGTCCCTTATGCTCTGAAATGGTCGTCCAATTTTAACGCCAGTTCGGGATTAGCTTATAGAGAAAAATTTTGGAGAAGTAAAAAAATCCTGTCGTTTCCTTTATCACAAACAAACAACAGGATCCAAAATGTTCGAAAACCTTTTGATATCTCTATTTTGCTCGATTGACGATTTTTCTACTATGCTTGAGTTAAAGATGAGCCTTTCAGCTCTGTCCAACCGCAAATATCTGACCAGAACCACAAAGATGCATTTAAGTGAGATCATGACCATTCTCATCTTATTTCATCACTCTAAGATGCGAACCTTTAAAGACTTTTATCTCCTTCAAAACCCTCTATTAAAAAAATACTTTCCTGATTTGGTGAGCTATGGCCGCTTTGTCGAATTAATCCCCAGAACGATTTTCCCTCTATTTTGCTTCCTGCTCTCATCGCTTAAAAACTGCTCGGGAATTTCCTTCATCGATAGCACCGTCTTGACTGTTTGCCCTATTAGAAGAGCTTCTTCTCATAAAACCTTTCAGGGAGTGGCTTCTAAAGGGAAAACATCGACAGGATGGTTTTTTGGTCTTAAACTCCATTTGGTCATCAATGAAAAAGGAGAGCTTCTTGCTTTTCAGCTTACAGGGGGAAATCGGCATGATCTTATTCCTATCGATTTTCTAACAAAAAAACTCTTTGGACATCTCTTTGGTGATAAAGGGTATCTCTCTGGAAAAGTGTTTGCTCGACTGTATCATCAGGGGATTAAGCTCATTACCAGACTCCGATCGAACATGAAAAATAAGCTCATGGCCCCTTGGGAAAAACTCTTTCTACGAGCAAGAGGGGTTATAGAAAGCGTGAATAATCGACTTAAACAGGGGTGTCAGATCGAGCACCATCGTCATCGATCTCGCAAGAATTTCTTGACAAATCTATTTGGAGGGCTCATCGGATATCAGCTGCTTCCAAACAAGCCTTCTCTTCGCCTTTCTTCATCAGAATCTTCCCTACTTTTATCTATGCGCTAATCCCGAACTGGCGTTAAAACAGCTAAGGTTTTTTAGCATAGCCTAAATATTTTGAACTTTGTCTATTTATTTTTCAATTTGCGAAGAGGCCTGAAAAGACGGCCACCCCCGTCAAAACAGTAGTGGTACCACTCTAGGAAGTTAAGACGAAGTCCATGAATCACTCCACCCATGAAACTTAAAACCATGTTGATCCCATGTCCGGCGAGGATAACGACAAAACCGGCGGCAAGGCCGAGTGCAGACCCCTCTTGGTTAAAAGTGCTCGCCATAATCGCACCTGCAAGGCTCAAAGCATAGAGCCGAAGATAGGAGAGGACATCTGCAAAAACCTGGATCATATTTGCAATTTCGCCGAGCCCTTTCCAACGGTGTTGAATGACAGCGGCAACGAGGGCAAAGCCGACTCCTCCATAGAGACATTGGAGACCGAAGGCGGCTGCGGTTTGCTTAGTTGCAACTCCCATAAACTCTAAGATAGTCGTCGCATTCAACATCGAGGGGAAAAAGAGGTACCCTCCGATCATAAAGACAATCCAACCTATCCCTGCAAAATTCCGTCTAAGGTACCGGAGAAAAGCGAAAGAGATGTGGACAACTCCGATGATCAGTGTGAAATCGAGGATGATATTACCGATGAACTCTTCAATCATTTGGTAGGTTGTGGTCCCTTTTTTGACAACGGCGGTTGCTAAGAGCATCTGATTCCCGTCCTTGACCTGACGAATCTGGGGAAATTTTGCCACCCAAGTCTCATAGACGTCGTCTTTGACTTTGAGGTGGTAATCTGCTTTTTTTTCAACGAGGTAATGGAGGGGCGAGATTTTGGTTAAAAAGGTCTTAGGTTTCGGCTTAAGCCCAAAATAAGACGAGGTGAGAACTCCCCACCCAATACACGCGATTGAGAGAAGGAAGAAGAGACGGAGCATCCGTTTTTGAGAACCCCGAATTTGAGGAAATTTTCTCTTTAGGTAAAAGGCAAGCGCAAGAAAGAGGAGTCCATAGCCTCCATCTCCAACGATGACCGCAAAGAAGAACGTGAACCCTCCGAGGATCCACGAGGAGGGGTCTTTATCTGTGATTGCAGGGACATCGTAGATCTTCATGATATCTTCGCCGACATGGGCAAACCCTTGATTCTCAAGACATGTCGGAACCCTATCCTCTTTTTCAATCTGAATTTGCTCGACATGCACATCCATTCCATCGATCAATTGGTAGAGGTGATCGACCTTGTTCTTGGGAACCCATGCCTCAACGACAAAGAGGGTACTTTTTAAAGGGTAGGCGACCTCTCTCTTAGCGCAAGCTAAGTTGTGCCCATTCAACTCTTCTAGAAGGTAGTGGTGAAGAAATTCGATATATCCAGCATGCTCTTTGAGCTCTATTTCAAACCGTTGAATCGCCTCTTCGACAAACTCGATCCGACTCGTCAATTCTCCTAAGGGAGAGTCGATTCTCATCTCTATCACCCCTGATACTGCGATCGGCTCATGACTGAGCGCAATAAAATAGTCGAGGTCGTATTCGGTTCCAATATAGATAAACTCTTCGGGGAGAAGTGTTTTATGGCTCTTGGCCGTCTTCATGCAGAAAAACTGGACTCTACGCCCCCCCTTCTCTTCGATATAATTGATATCTTCCATGGAGAAATCCCCAAAAGGGGCTACACGTGTGATCTCGGTATCGAGAATCCGTCTCTCTTCGTAGAGTTTCTCGAGGCTCTCTTTGAGCTCCAGAATTCTCTCCGAGATCTGCATGGCTAAAAATAGATCCCCTGCACCTTGGTACGGCTCTCGAACAGGTTGTTTTTTCAGGATCTTAATAGCTGTATAGAAATTCTGAACAACGGCGGGGAATTCCGTCTGCTTTTTCGGTGAAACAGTGATAAACTCCAAAAATCCATTCTCTTGAGCTTGCTCAAAGAATTGATTTAAGTTGTCCTGGGTTCCCAGAATCAAGTACTTGACGATATCTGTAATCATCGAGCCACCTCTTCCCGTTCAACGATTTTTTGCTTAGCGACTTTGGCTTGGCAAACCGCTGCCAATTGTTGATCTCCTAAGAAGATCCGTATTTTGCGGATGTTTTGCAAAGAGCGTGGGATGAGAATTTTCTCAAAGAGATTCACCCGGATAGAGACTTCTCGAAGCTCTTTTTCAAGCGCACTTTTTTTCTCTTTGGCAATTCCGATTTTCTCATGGATGGTAATCAAATTTTTCAATCCCGCGATCGCAGCATCGAGCCATACAGGCGAGTCAAAAAGAAGGTAGTTGGTCTCTTGAAAAACGATCTGATCCAAGCTGGGCAAATCGACGCCTGCGATATTTTCATACCGTTTAACGATATCGACCACTTTCACAGAGGGAAAAAGATCAAAAGCATTCCGGTCAGAGAAGAGCAAAGAGTAGGTTGCCACTTTTTTTTCAGCGATAGCGAACTCTTCTCGCAGCTGTTCTATCTCTAGCTCTGCTTGATTGACCTCAATCTGCAGAAGCATCTTCTTCAACTGGAGTGTCGGAAGATATTTCTGCAGCTGATTCAGCCGTAATTGCTGACTTCTAAGCTCTGTCTTTGTTAACTTAACCATTCAATTTTGGCCAATATTTATCGATCAGGGTTTGTTTAATCCCCACCTCTTGCTGCTCAAAACACTCACTGACCATTTTCCATCCATCGTCGAGGGCATCTTCAAGTGAAAGATTCACCTCGAGATTCATCATCCGATCTTCAAAAAGGGTGGTAAAGTGGAGAAGCTTCTCATCCCAGCGAGAGAGTTTAAAACCCATCGACTGTCTTTCACGCGCCTTCTTCCCTTCGGCATACAACCGAATCTGCGCATTGGCGATATCTCCGTGATCTTCTCGCGTGACCTTCCCGATGACCTGCTGTTTGAGACGCGAAAGGGAGCCAAAGGGGTCGATTCTCCCTTCGTGTAGATAAAACTGTCCTTCGGTGATATACCCCGTATTGTCGGGGATGGGGTGGGTCACATCTCCACCTGGCATTGTCGTCACTGCGATGATGGTGATGGAGCCGCTCCCTTCAATGTCGACGGCTTTTTCATAACGGGCCGCCAAGTCGGAATAGAGTGAGCCGGGATAACCTCGATTCGATGGAATCTGATCCATCGTAATCGCAATCTCTTTAATGGCATCGCCAAAAGCCGTCATATCGGTGAGAAGGACGAGCACATTTTTATCTTCTGTCGCGAACTTCTCCGCAACAGCTAGAGCTAAATCTGGCACCAAGAGGCATTCGACAGCCGGATCGGTCGCTTGGTGGATAAACATGACGGTTTTTTCAAGAGAGCCCGCCTTTTCGGCATTGTCGATAAAAGCTTGGTAGTCGTCAAATCTAAGCCCCATACCTCCGATGATAACGACATCGGCATTTGTCTGGTTTGCAATGCGCATTAACAGCGCATTAAAGGGCTCTCCAGCGATTGAAAAAATGGGGATTTTTTGCGATTTAACGAGGCAGTTAAAGACATCGATCATCGGGATGTTTGTACGAACCAGATCGTGGGGAACGATCCGCCGAACAGGGTTAAAAGAGGGGGCATTCAGCTGGACAGAATCGCCAGAAACCTGTGGCCCCTTGTCGATCGATCTCCCCGATCCATTGAACCGACGCCCTAGCAGACTATCCGAGGCAACCACCTCCATCTCTTTCCCTAAAAATTCAACGCGGTCACTCGTTGAGAGTCCCCTTGTATTCTCAAACGACTGGAGTGTGACTTTATCGCCGTTGATTCTCAAGACCGAAGCATAGACCGACTCTCCGCTTTTTTTGTGAATACGGGCCATCTCGCCAAGCGAGACATCTTGAGCGATCACTGTCAAAAGATTCCCCCGCATATCTACAATTCTATCGTAAATCTTTTTCATGTGATCCCTCTCATTGCCTGTTCGACTTTCTCTTCAATACGTGCAAACGCCTTCTCATACCGATCCGACTTGAATGGCATAAAATTGATATTCTTGATCTCATTTTGAAGATCGAGGAAGAACGACCGTGCTGCATCGTGCCCATCGAAATCAAAATGCGATTCAAATATTTTATTAATCAGCTGAAAAAGTGGGATTTGCCGCTCTAAAGGGCAATACGCATCTTCTTTATCAAAAGCATTTTGCTGCAAGTAGCTGAAGTCGTAGAGTTCGGCCTTAAGATAGGTCACCATATCACGCAGGGTAATCCCCTCTTCGCCCACAACCTCCATCCGCTTCCCGATCTCATTCCCATCGAACAAAATCTTTGCGGCGCCCTTTGCCATTTTTCCCCAGCCCTGCACTTTTGCCCCGAGTTCCTGGCTCACATCATCGATATACTTGCTCCATGAGATAAGAGGATCGATCGCTGGATAGCGGCGAGCATCTGACCGTAACCGCGATAGGCCAAGAAATGCACCGACGACGGAGAGAGTCGCTTGCGTCACGGGTTCTTCAAAATTTCCTCCCGCTGGAGAGACCGTTCCGCAAATGGTCAACGACCCGGTTTTTCCATTTTCCAACTTGACCACTCCGGACCGCTCATAAAAGGCGGCGATACGAGAGGCGAGATACGCTGGAAAAGCCTCTTCCCCAGGAATCTCTTCAAGTCTTCCAGACATCTCACGCATCGCTTGAGCCCATCGAGATGTCGAGTCGGCGAGCAATAAGACATCGAGTCCCATCTGTCGATAGTACTCTGCGATGGTCGTTCCCATGTAGATCGACGCTTCACGCGCAGCGACGGGCATCGAAGAGGTGTTACAGATAATCACGGTCCGATTCATGAGGGATTCATTCGTATGAGGGTCGCTTAGGTGGGGAAACGTTCTTAAAACCTCGACGACTTCTCCCGCCCTCTCACCGCAGGCGACAACGATGACGATATCGACGGAAGAGTATTTAGCCAAGTGGTGTTGAAGAACGGTTTTCCCTGCACCAAAGGGGCCAGGTGAGCAGAATGTCCCCCCTTTCAAGACGGGAAACTGTGTATCGATGATCCTCTCCCCCGTATCCATCATCTGCGTCCCTTTGATCTTCTCACCGGCGAAAAGGGAGGACTTAACCGGCCATTTTTGAATCATGGTAAAAGAGTGTTCTACCCCTTTATTGTCGGTCCCCTTTGCAACCACGGTATCGACTGTATAAGAGCCCGCTTTAGCGATCCATGTCACGGTGTACTCCCCAAACAGATTAAAAGGGATGAAGATGGAGTGGTGGAATCTCCCCTCCATCGTATAGCCGAGCTCTTCTCCACGTTGCAGAACATCGCCGACTTTAGCAACAGGGTGGTAATCCCAATGCCGTGACCGGTCCAAAGGTGGCAGGTAGACCCCTCTTGTGAGAAAGAGGCCTGTCGCATCGGCAACCTTCTCAAGCGGATTTTGCAACCCGTCGACAATAGCGCCTAAAAGACCGGGACCCAACTCCGCCTCCAAAAGATGGCCGTTAAACTCGACAGGTGTTCCGAGTTTAACCCCTCGGGTATCTTCGAAAATTTGCATTTTCACCTCGTCACCTGCAATCTCGATGACTTCTCCTTTCAAGAGGGTGTTTCCGAGTTTTATCATCCCCACTTCCCCCTGACGAACAGCTCGCTCAAAGACCACGTGAAGCAAGTTTCCGAACGCTTTTACAACTTTTCCAATCGCTACATCTCTCATGAATTAACCTACAAACGCCTCTAGAATGATCTTTCCCTTTGCCTCATCGAGCTCATTCCATTGTTCCACGATGAGAAGTTGTGCCATATACGATAATATCCAGTCGATGGAAAATAAAGGCTTTTCCACCAACTCCTCAATATTGTGAAAACGCCACTCACTCACAACTCGGTTTTGCTGCCACGGATCTGGGCCGCAAGAGAGATACTTCTCTTTTAATTCTGTATACTCTGGAGGTGGTTCGTAAGAAGGGGCATCTTTCTGAGCTAAAATATCGATAATGAGTGGATCTTTTAAATCTTCAAATTGAAGTTCAGTCACGAGATCTCTCCCCAGCTGCTTAGCCCGCAGCGCCAAAATCACCAATCTCCATTCCCTCTCAAACTTCAGATAATTTTTCAGAAAACCTCTGCAACGTGTCACCTCTTCAGAGAAATAGAGCGATATCAAGCCGGGGAAAAAACCGATTTTCTGTTGAATCGTTTCAAACCGGTCTAAAAAATCGAAAACATAGCTTGGAAGTCCATCTTGAAGAAGAAGGGCTTGATCGAGCTCCTTTTCGTTGAGGTTTCCTCGAGGATCGATCGCATCTTCCAAAAAAAGCATCCGCATATTACTGATATCGATAAATTGTCGAAAAATCTTTGTCTGCTTCAAATCATCTTTGGTGAGATTGATCTCTAAACGAGCGACCAACTCTTCAAATGAAAAATCGGGCCTTTCACCCAAAGTCAGGGGAGGAAGCCCGGCTGCTAAAAAGTAGTAATTTGCCACAAATTCCTATGATTTGAAGATATAGTCTCGAAAATCTTTCCGAATATGAGTTGCTATCAACTCTCGGAGTGTCGCATCGGAAAAATCGAGCGTGATATGGTCTTGGATCAACTTAATTTCAACTCCGCCTCCAATAGAACTCAAAAGAACTCCCTTTTCTCGGAGCCTTTGGACCACTTTTGAAGCGAGCAACTCATTGACTCCCTTAGCGGGGATAGAAGCTGCAATAGCAGCGCTCAAATCGGCTTTCAACCCCTCTTTTTCAATCGCGCCCACCAACGTATTGATGATGTGAGCGACAATCTTAGGGTCGTGAAGCGGAGCTGCTACCAGATGAGCAAGAGCCGGGTTGAACAACTTCTTCTCAATTTTCTCTTTAAGAGAATCGAGCATTTGGCGACAAGCTTGACGCAAAGCCGCTTGAAAAATCGCCTTTTGCTTCTCATTCTCAGCTAGTGCACTCTCCATCAATTTTTTAGCTTGGATGTGAGCCTCTGCCAAAATTTCAACGGCCTCTCTGTGCGCCTGCTCCAGCAAACTCTCAGCTTCATGCCGGGCTGGCTCTAGCGTCTCTCGGCGAAGCGCATCGCAAATTTTTTTAATCTTATCTTTTCCGGAGTCTAAACCTTTCATCGCATCCTCTCTTCCCATCTATTTAATTGCGAAAACGGTATAATTTTCAACTTGAAATCGATTCTATGATCGGATATCTCTTTACTCATGTCCAAATATCCCCTCGCTCTTCAACAACTCATCTCCTCCCTAAAAACGTTGCCAGGCGTGGGGGCTAAAACAGCTGAGAGATTTGCCTTCCATCTTTTAACAAGATCGGAAGAGGCACTTCAAGAGTTTTCACACCATGTCGCCTCCCTCAAAGAAAAAATCGGGACATGTCCTCACTGCAACTGTCTCACCGACCTCAAAAAGTGTGAATTCTGTGATAGAGACCGGCGCGACTCTTCTCTTCTCTGCCTCATCTCTTCTCCTAAAGACGCCTATGCGATCGAAGAGACCCACATCTACAAAGGGCTCTACCATGTCTTAGGCGGGCTCCTCTCCCCCCTGGATGGACGAACACTCGAACGGCTCAATCTCCCCGGACTTCTCCGAAGAATTGCAGATTTAGATGTGAAAGAGGTCATCGTCGCACTCGATTCCACTCTGGAAGGGGACGCCACCGCCCTCTACCTGAAAGAGCAACTCAGCAAGCTCGAGATCCCCGTCTCCAGGCTCGCTCTAGGTCTACCGATGGGAAGCCCTCTCGAGTACGTCGATGGAGGGACCCTCTCTAGAGCCCTAACAGGGAGACACCTATTTTAGTCAATTAACATCGGAGACCGTTGAGGAGAAAAAACTCTCACCACGTGGGGCAAAATCCACTACGCAAAAGATGGAGTCTACATCGTGCCTACCTATCGAAAAGATTAGCAATGGAAATCGTGTGGTCTTGTTGCAGGGTCTTGGCTCTTGATCAAAGACTACAAGACCATGATCAAGTGGTATCAGAAAGGGCTTGATGTTGCCGAATGGCTAGAAGACCAAGAAGGGATCGGTAGCAGCTGTAGTGGCCTTGGAACCGGATGGTATTCATTAGGTGATTACAAAAAAGCCATTGAGTACCACAAAAGACACTTGGCCATCGCTCAGGCTAGAGGTGATTTAGCAGGAGAAAAGAGTGCTTGTGGTCATCTTGGAGACTGTTTCCAAAAATTGGGACAGAGCCAGGAAGCCAATACCTATTACGAGAAGCAGCGCAAAACTTAAAAACCCCTATAACTTTTTAAAATCGCCCTCTTGCACTAGAGGGCGATTTGCATACCCGAATCTGAAGCATTAAAAGATGAAATCTCCCCCCAAACAGCCTCATGGGGAATATTTTTTAGAAATCACAGCTATCCATTGCATAATTCCAACCCTTTTCTTATACTCCGCATCTTTGGGTTAACCAATGACACATATGAAAAAAATAGTTTTACTCTCATCTGCAGTTCTACTGACATGTGCTCCCTTTGAACAGCTCTTTACAGCCCCAGCTTTAAGTGTTGAGACGTATGAGCAGAGAGCCGTTGGACGGATCGATATTCAAGCTGAAAATCTCCCTCCAGGCACATCTTTTGACCCTCGCCTCGTCCAAGAGAGACTTAAGACAAAGGTCGGCGACCCGTTTTCACAACTCGTCTTTGATGGAGATCTGAAAACCCTCTCTACCGAGTACGATCGAGTCGACCCCCAGATCTCAACGGTGAGTGGAGAGGTCGTCATCACGCTCAAAATATGGCTCCGACCGACGGTTCACAAGATCATTTGGCAAGGGAATACCCATTTTTCATCGGGCACCCTACGGAAAGAGCTCGAAGTGAAAGAGCATCAGGTTTTTAACCGGGTTGAATTCAATAAAAAGTTCAATAAAGTCAAAGAGTACTACATCAAAAAAGGGTATTTTGAGTCGCAACTCTCCTATACCGCGACCCCGATTGGAAATACCAACGAGGTCGATATTCATGTGAATGTGATCGAAGGGCGTCCTGGAATTGTCGACGATATCGTCTTCAGTGGGTTCACGAAAAAAGAGAAGAGCCGAATCTTAGAGAAGATCTACACGAAGTCGTACAGCCTCTTTACCAGTTGGCTGACGGGGTCGGGAATTCTCCAGGAAGAGGCGATCGAACAAGATCGGCTGGCCATTGTCACGATGCTTCAAAATGAAGGGTATGCCGATGCTAAAGTCGATCTCCAAATCACCAATGCAGAGAAAGAGGGGCGTATCATTATCACCCTCACCGCAGACCATGGCCCCCTCTTTCACTACGGGACAATCACCTTTAAAGGGAACACCCTCTTCACCGATGTAGAAATCGAAAAGGCTTTTTTGGTCCACCCCGAGGAGAAATACTCCCCAGAAGTCCTGCGAAACACCGCCGAAGCCATTAAAGATCTCTATGGACGAAAAGGGTATATCGACACCAATGTTCAATACGAAACCGAGCTCTCCAGTGATCAACCGGTTTACAACATCCGTTTTGAAATCGAGGAAGGGTCTCAATACAAGATTGGATTGATCCGGGTTTTTGGAAATGAGCAGACGCAGATTCATGTCATTTTACGCGAGTCTCTCCTCATCCCTGGTGAGACGTTCGACTCTGTTCGCCTCAAAGCGACTCAGGAAAGACTCCAAAACATGGGGTATTTTAAAAGTGTCAACGTCTATTCAGTCCGGACCCAAGACGATCAGATCTTAGGTGAAAACTACCGCGATGTTTACATTGAGGTCGAAGAGACCCCCACGGGACATGCCAGCCTATTCTTCGGACTCAGTTCAGATAGTAGCATCTTCGGAGGACTCGATATTACAGAGACCAACTTCAACTACAAAGGGTTTGCAAAACTCCCTAAAGAGGGACCCTCTGCCATGCGGGGTGGGGGTGAATACGCTCACGCAAAAGTAACACTGGGGGCTAAAGAGAGATCGTATGTGGTCTCGTGGCTAACACCTTACTTTCGCGATACACTCTGGAGAGTCGGGTTTGAAGGCTCTTTAAGCCAGAGTGAGCTTCAGGCAAAAGAGTATCAGATCGATTCAATCGGAGGAAATCTATTCGCCTCTTACCCTCTCTCTGCCTACTGGACAGCAGGGACAAAATACCGGCTTAAGCATGAAAAAGACAAAGCCGATGACAACGCAACCACGCAAGAGAGAAGAGATTTAAAAAAGGGGAAAGGTCACATCTCTGCTATTGGAACCTCCCTTAACTACGACTCGACAGATAGCATGATCAAGCCACATAACGGTCTTCGAACCCTTTTGGAGCTTGAATTTGCAGGGGTCGGAGGGAATGTCTCTTTCCTCAAATACAGCTATGTGAACACCTTTTATCAACAGCTGTGGCGACATGGAGTCATGAAATACCGTTGGGAGGCCCGCTTCGTTCAACCGACATGGTGGACAAGTAGTGTCGAAGACATCCCAAAAGGAGAGCGGTTCTTTCTCGGTGGAGAGAACTCCGTCCGTGGCTACCGCGCCTTTGACCTGGGATCGAGATATAGCAATGGCGACCCGATCGGTGGAATCTCCGCCTCTGTCATTTCGGTTGAATACCTCCATGAGATCCTCTCTATCTTAGACGGCTTTCTCTTCATCGATGCCGGCTCTATTTCGAGAAAGAAATTCAACATTCAGCGGTACAATATGAGCTACGGAGCTGGAATTCGACTCGAAGTCATGCACCGGATGCCGATCACCGTCGGAATCGGATTCCCCGTCAATGCAAAGCACAACAGCCAAATTGAGAGGGTTTTCTTCTCGATGGGCGGACAATTTTAAACAAAAAAAGGAGTCAACATGAAAAAACTCTCTACACTCATCGCCCTCACCTTAACCAGCTTGCAACTCTGTGCAACGGAGACAAAAGTTGGGATCGTCAATTTCGTCAGTTGTGTGACTGAATCCAAAGTCGGTAAACACGAGCAATCGGCCGTCGAAGAGATGCGCAAACAGATCGCAACGTTGATCGAAGATAAAGAGAAACAACTCAAAGAAGTCACAGAACAGTTGCAAGACAGAGATTTTCTCGATGGTCTCTCTCCTGAAGGAGAGCAAGAGCTCAAAGGGAAATGGTCCCAACTCAGCGAAGAGATGAACCGTTACAACCAACAATATTACCAATTCATCCAGCAAGGACAAAATCGAATTTTTCAAAACGTCGTCGGTGGAATCACCTCAGCTGCAGAAAAACTCGCCTCTTCTAAAGGCTACTCGATGATCCTCAATAAAGAGGCTTGCTTCTTCTACGATCCCAAGCTCGATATCACAGCAGATGTGATCAAAGAGATGGATAAATCTTTTGACGATACAGAGAAACAACCCGCTGTTGGAAAGTAGTGAAGACCCTCTTTGAGCTTGCAGAATTGACAGGAGCACAACTCATCGGCGACCCCTCCCATCTCATCACCGGGGTTGACGAGCTCGATTCTGCCTGCTCATCCGACGCCTCTTTCTTGGCAAACCCGCTCTACCGACCCTCTCTAAAAACAACTCAAGCAGGTGTGGTTTGTATCGACCCTCAGACCCCTCGTATCGAAGGGAAAAATTATCTCATCTCAGATCATCCGTCTGCCACCTTCCAACAGATCATCAAACTCTTCCGTCCAGCCTACACCTCTGGGTTTCAAGGGATCCATCCCACCGCTGTTGTCCATCCAACAGCCGTCATTGGACCCAATGTCACGCTGGGACCGTATGTCGTTGTCGACGCCCACTGCCAGATCGAGTCCGGGACCACTCTTGGCCCCTCTGTCACACTAGGAGCCTATGTTCGAATCGGCTCTAGCTGTACCCTCCACTCGCATGTCACCATCCGAGAAGGGTGCAGAATTGGCAACCGCGTGATCATTCAACCCGGTGCAGTCATCGGCTCTTGTGGCTACGGCTATACAACTGATGGGAATGGGAGACACCAAAAACAAGAACAGCTCGGAGTTGTCGTTCTCGAAGACGACGTCGAAATTGGAGCCAATACCACCATTGACAGAGCCCGCTTTAAGGAGACCCTCGTCCGTCGAGGGACAAAGATCGATAATCTCGTTCAAATTGCCCACAACGTTGTCCTTGGAGAACACAATCTGATTGTCTCTCAAACCGGCATCTCCGGCTCTGTGAAAACCGGCAAGTACGTCGTCATGGCCGGTCAGACGGGAACCGTCGGCCACATCGAGATTGCAGATCACACCCTCTTTGCAGCGCGCAGCGGCATAAAAAAATCGATCACCTCTCCTGGAAAATACGGTGGAAATCCGGCTGTTCCCCTCGACACGCACCAACGGGAGCTGGTTTCCCAAAAAAAAATCCCCCTTCGACTCAAAGCGGTTGAGGAACGGCTCTCTAAATTAGAGGTTGATAAATTTAGTTGATTCGGTCCATAGATCGAGTTGATGATCGAGATCTACTCCAAAACAGCTCATGACGACACCTTTCAGATCTCCCCTCAAATCGACGAAGGGTGCTGGATCCATGTCGATGAAGCGACCCCTGAAGATATTGTCAACCTAGCTGGACTGATTCAGCTTGAACCGACCGACCTCCAAGACTGCCTGGATAAATTCGAAGTCCCTCGCATCGAGCGGATTCAAAATACGGTGATTATCTTTACCCGTTATCCAACGGAGTATGAGACAGGGCTTTACACCTCAACACTTGCAATGATCCTCACCCCCCATTACATCGTCACCCTCACTCCCCATAAAAGCTATCTGATCAGCAATTTTTTGCTCCAAAAAAACAAACTCTCCACCCTTCAAAAATCGAAATTTTTGATCTCTCTCTTTTTAAAAATAACCCAAGAGTTCACAGCACACACCCGCCGTATCCGTCATACCGTCTTAAAACAAGAGAAAGAGATGATCACGGTCGATAGCGAAGATATCACAGAGCTCACCCGCAGTGAAGAAGTGCTCAATCAATACCTCTCTACCCTGATTCCCCTCCATTCGGTCCTAGAGGCTATCATCTCGGGAAGGTATACGAGTCTCTATGAAAAAGACCAGGGGTTGCTAGAAGATCTACGGAATGCGATCAAACAGTCGGAAGACCTCTGCAGTATCAGCTTAAAGAGCATCCGCTCTTTAAGAGACTCGTACCAAATCATCTTCACCAACAACCTGCACAAGACGATCAAACTGCTCACAGCTCTGACGATCCTCTTCAATATCCCTACGATGATCGCCAGCCTCTACGGGATGAATATCGCGCTCCCCCTAGCGTCTCACCCCCTCGCCTTTCTCTATATCATCGGTGCTACAGGGGTCTCCATCATCCTCGCCGTCCTCTACTTCCAGCGAAAGCGTTGGCTGTAAAAATGCTCCAGCACTGGAGATGGCGGACAACTTCAAAAACCGGCTCTCGCTGTTATTTGGAAAAACCTCCAGTCACCTCGACTTTGCAACTTTTTGGATGCGCCTGTCTCATCTCTTTGCTCTCAGTCGTTTCTGCTCTTCTGAACTGAAGAGTTATTTACTCACCTTACACAGGGGTGATGAGTGGAGAAATATGAGATTTTGATTATCGAGCTCTTAAAAAAGCACAGACATATTTTCAAATATGGCGACCATTTTTTAAGAGCTCGATAATCAAAAGATTGTGTTTATTCACCATTGCACATGCGTAAGGTGAGTTAAATAACTCTTCCGAGAACAAACATCTTGAGCCCTTCGCATCCAAAAGTTGCAAAGTCGAGGTCACGTTCTGTTTGACTTCTGTTGTAGATCTCGACTAAAATGCCCCTATGCATCCCGATTACCACCACCACGAAGAGTTTAAAAACCGGAGCGCAAAGCTTGCGGAGATCCGAACACTCGGCATCGATCCTTACCCCGCGCAGTTTAAACCGACCCAAACAGCACATGCACTTGCACATAAGTATGCATCTCATGAACTTGGCAGAAGCGAAGAGGCAGAAGCAGGTCGTACCGAGCACGTTGTTTTGGCTGGAAGACTCGTCCTTTTTCGCGGCATGGGGAAAAACGCGTTTGCCCACCTACAGGATGCAACCGGACGTCTTCAACTCATGCTCAATCGGAACCACACAACCGTCGCTGGATTTACTCCCACGGAAGAGCTCACCCCCCTTAAATTTGTCGAAAAGAAGATCGACCTCGGTGATATCGTTGGCGTTGAGGGACATCTCTTTCGTACACAGGCAGGAGAGCTAACCCTCTATGTCAAAACCTTGACACTCCTCTGTAAGACACTCCTCCCCCTTCCTGACAAACACGCAGGTCTCTCCGATAAAGAGCTCCGCTACCGGAAACGGTGGCTCGATCTCATCACGCATGAAGAGGTGCTCACAACCTTCAAACTCCGGAGCAAAATCGTCCGACTGATTCGGGACTATTTCGAAAAATCCGACTTCATGGAAGTTGAAACCCCCATTCTGCAGAATATCTATGGAGGAGCTGAAGCAGCCCCCTTTACAACGGAGCTCAACGCTCTACATCAAATGATGTACCTCAGAATCTCTCTGGAGATCTCCTTGAAGAAACTGATTATCGGCGGTTTTGATCGAGTTTTTGAAATCTCCAAGATTTTTCGGAATGAAGGGCTCGACCGAACTCACAACCCTGAGTTCACCATGCTCGAAGCGTATGCCGCCTATTGGGACTATAACGATATGATGGTGTTCACGGAGAAACTCTTTGAGTTTCTAGCACTTCAGCTCTTTGGCTCAACGAAGATTCAGCTGGGGGAAAACTCGATCGACCTACAAACCCCTTGGATTCGAATGAGCATGAAAGAGGCGATTCTCACCTATGGAAAAATCGATGTCGACCCTCTTTCAGACGACCAATTGCGTAAAACTCTCCTCGACCTAGGAGGAGACCCTAAAAAGATTGACACAGCTCCTCGTGGTCTTTTGATTGCAGCGCTTTTTGAAGAGACTGCAGAAACCCACCTCATCCAACCACACCACATCATCGACCATCCCATTGAGACAACTCCTCTTTGTAAACTTCACCGAGATCCAAAGCTTCGTCAAGAGCGGTTTGTCGAACGATTTGAGAGCTTTATTTGCGGAACCGAGTTTTGCAACTCGTATACAGAGCTCAACGACCCCGAGTTGCAGCGCGAACTCCTCGTCGAACAAAATGGAAAACGGATCGGTGGTGATAAAGAGGCCCATCCTCTCGATGAAGAGTTTATCGAAGCCATCTGCCAAGGGATGCCCCCTACCGGCGGACTTGGAATTGGGATTGACCGCCTTGTGATGTTGCTGACAAAAGCAACCTCTATTCGAGATGTTCTCTTCTTTCCGATGATGAAAACGGACGACTCTCCTCCTGATACCCAAAAATAACCTCGAGCTGAGAACATTGAAAAACAGCTCCCCCCAAGAGAAGACATCGCCGTTTACTACCTAAACAAAAAAACAAACACCGACGTATCCAGAAAATCAAAGACTCACCTTATGGCATCTCCACTCCCTTGCGTCAGCGACGCAAGCGGCCTCTATTATGCTTGAGACAGTAAAAGATTAGAAAACTGGAGAAACGGTTGTTTGTCAGACGGAGTTCGGTTTAATACAGTTTGGGTTGAAATCCAAAGAAGAGGTGAATGGGATTAGGGCATTTCATGACAAAGATGGGTTTTACAAATCCGCTCTTACGGCTGATTTTTCTGATCACTTAGAAGATATGCTTCCAAATATTTCAGAATTGATAAAAGACTCCTTCGAACAACGAATTATACCCAATCCAAATAAAAAATCATCCGCCATAAAAATTTCTGGTGAACGATTTTTAGCTATAAGAAAAAACTAGAGCTGAAAACATTATTTAAAAAGTAGGTGAAAAATGTTAGCTATTACATATTTAGGTTTAGTATCAAGACGCGCCCTTACCAAGGGAAGTCAGAAGTGCTATTATAGCCAAAATAAAAGCAAAACAACTCAATCTGAAGGTGGCATGAAAAAAGCTATTTTGTCTTTTGAAGATTTTATAAAGAAGCACGTTGAGCCCTTAAATGATTTTAAAAATTCACCTTCTATTAAGAATGAGTTAGGAGATAACCAGGAAAAAATCTCCAAAATATATAAAAAATATTGTGAAATGCAATACAACTCATATCGACAAGATTTGTACGGGAAAAACTCCTCTTTAATGATTTAAGATGGCGTTATTGCACAAATGCGTTGCGGCTGAAGTTTTTTTTATATTCAAGTCAGCAAAATTAACGCGATGTGTGAATTTTATTCTCTCAAATAACCTAACATAAGTTCCTGGATTTCTGTGGGGAGGAGAGAAATTAAAACCCATTTGATCGGTAAATGTTCATATCGTGAGTCGTGCTCTGTATATAGCCTACATTCCGTACAGCATTCATTTTATCTTCGATTTCTCAGTTTCCGAGCTGAATTTGGGGAGTTATTGAGTAGGAGGGTGTGCTTTGACTCCCGTCCCTCACACCTATATGAACCCCTCCGAGTAAGTATCGGCCTTTGGATTATCAAGCATCCTCGTCCTAAGGGTTTCTACCTCATGCATGTAACCGTCTAGGGAAGAGCATCTTTTTTAATTTAACATAGACTGGCATTCTGAGTGGCAAATAAAAAGGAGCCGTATGCCAACAGAAGCTTCAATCTAAAAACGTCAAATCTGAGAAGCCCGCCTTCGCCAGCAGAAAGAGAGTGGACTCTCCATTGTCAAGTGGTGTGAGCAACAACGACTCTCTCCACAGACGTTCAGCTACTGGAAGGACGAACTCTCCCACTCCTCAACAGATTTGGGCATCTCCCTTGAAAAGCATGAACGGACCTAAAAGGTCCGTTTTTTCCACACTGAAAGATCCAAATTCAGAGTAAAAGAGAGGCTGGATTCTCTAGATATTTTTGAACTGTCTTAATAAACTTGGCCCCTTCGGCTCCATCAATGACACGGTGGTCTGCTGAGAGGGTGAGTTTCATCACCTTGCCAGGGATGATCGTATGGTCGGAGACGACAGGTTGATCGAGAACGGCTCCAACGGCTAAGATCGCCGCCTGAGGAGGGTTGATGATCGCCATGAATTCCGAGATTCCAAGCATCCCGAGATTAGAGACGGTGAACGATCCTCCCACGAACTCTTCTCTTTGGAGCTTCCCGTCTTTCGCCTTTTGAGCAAGATATCTCACTTCGGCGGAAATCTCTCCGAGGTTTTTGAAATCACAGTGCCGAACAATCGGGGTGATCAAACCATCGGGAATCGCCACAGCAATCGAGATATCGATCGTCTTGAAACGGATCATCGTCTGATTGACCGAGTTAAAGCCGCTATTCACCTGCGGGTGTTCTCGGAGCGCAATGGCGCAAGCTCGAATGACACAGTCGTTGACTGAAATTTTATGCCCGATCTTCTTGAGCTGTTCTCTCGCATCGAGTAGTTTTTCAGCACGGACTTCTGTCGTGATATAAAAGTGGGGGACAAATGTTTTCGACGCTTGAAGTCGCTGCGCGATGACTTTTCTCATCGGGGTCAGCGGCTCTTCCTCGTAAGTACCAGGGGGCAGCGTCGGTTTTGCCTGAGAGTTAAATGTCACCGGAAGATCGGGTTGTCCTAGGTTGAGATCACCGCTCACAATCCGGTTGCCTGGGCCAGACCCTTTGACAGTCGACAAGTCGATCCCCTTCTCTTTGGCCATTTTTTTTGCGAAAGGAGAGGCGGCGATATGGTCTGAATTTCCAGCGGAGAATTCGTACCCTTGTAAAGGGGGTTCTGGAGTGAAAGCCGGCTGGGCAAACCCTTCTTTAAGGGGGACGGTTGCCTGTCGACTTTCCGTCTCTGTTTTCTCCGCAACTGGGGCTGAAACCTCTGGTTGTGGAGTGGCTCCTTCGACTTGATACCCTTCAATACTCTCGTCTTGCTTTTCTGTAAAAATAGCAACCGGTTGATTGACAACTGCCGATCCCCCCTCTTTCATTAAAATCTTCCGAAGGTAACCGCCATCGAGAACAGCGTGTTCAACAGTCGCTTTATCGGTGGCAACCTCGAAAATCACCTCGCCTACTTTGACGAAATCGCCCTCTTTTTTTCTCCATTTTGTAATTGTCCCTTCTTCCATTGTGGGGGAGAGTTTAGGCATGGTCAAGGTGAATGGCATAATAACTCCTATAGGGTTTCTAAAATAGCCTGACAGATCTTCTCGACTGTCGGCATTGTCTCTCGTTCGAGTGTTTTGGCATACGGCATGGGGGTCTCACACTGAGTCACCCGCTTGATAGGTGCATCTAGATAGTCAAAGCAGTGGGTCTGGATCTCAAAACCGACCTCTGCGCAAATTCCAGAGAAGTAATGCCCCTCTTCGACCAGCACGACATGGTGGGTCTTTCGAACAGAGGTTGCAATCGTGGTGATGTCGAGCGGTTTAATCGTCCGAAGGTCGATCAATTCGACAGAGATTCCCTGCCGGCTCAGCTCTTCAGCTGCTTTTTTGCACAGATTGGTCATACGGCTGTGAGAGACGAGGGTCACATGACTCCCCTCTCGAACAACCTGAGCTTTTCCAATGGGGACGAGATACTCTTCCACGGGGATTTCCATCTTGTCGTTGTAACAAAGTTCGTTCTCTAGAAACAAGACCGGATTGTTAGACCGAATCGCCGACTTGAGCAACCCTTTTGCATCGTAAGGATTACTCGGAGCAACCACGATAAGTCCTGGAAAATTGCCATAGAGCGCTTCAACGCAGTGAGAGTGTTGTGAAGAGACTTGAGCTGCAGCTCCATTGGGACCACGGAACACGATCGGCACTGAAAATCGATTCCCCGACATATAGTACATCTTTGCCGCATTCGAGATGATTTGGTCGGCGGCGACAAAAGAGAAGTTAAAGCTCATAAACTCGACCACAGGTCTAAGCCCTGTCATCGCAGCTCCAATGGCGATCCCTGCAAACCCCTCTTCGGCAATCGGCGTATCGATGACCCGTTCTGGGCCCCATTTTGCGAGCATCCCTTTGGTGACTTTGTAGGCCCCGTTATACTCGGCCACTTCCTCTCCCATGATGAAGACTCTTTGATCACGCGTCATCTCTTCATCCAGCGCTTGACGAAGCGCCTCTCTCATCTCTACAACTTGCGTCTTCATGGTGCAAACACATCCTCTCCAAGGGTTATCGGGTCAGGCCAACGGCTCTCATCGGCGAATTTCATAGCGGCAACGACGAGACTTTTCTGTTCTTGATTGAGCGCTTCATACTCTTCGTCGCTGATCAATTGATGCTCTGCAAGCGTCTTAAAGTACATCAAAAGAGGATCTTTCTCCATCGACTGTGCAAGACACTCTTTAGATCTATAGAGACCTGGATCTGAAATCGAGTGGCCTCGAAAACGGTCTGTTATCACCTCGATCAAAACAGGTCTTGATGTTCGACGGACCTCTTCAAAAACATGGGTAAATCCAGCGTAGCAATTGAAAAAGTCCATCCCGTCAAATGTATACCCTTTCATTCCATACCCGGCTGCTTTTGTCTCTGCAATCGGCTCAACGCTAATGGCTCGAGCAACGGCTGTTCCCATCCCCCATCCATTATTCTCAATCACATAGATACAGGGAAGGTTCCAAAGAACCGCCATGTTCAGCGATTCATGGAAAGAGCCTTGAGCGACGGCTCCATCCCCTAAGAAACAGACCGAAACGGCATCCTCTTTTCGATATTTGATTGTAAAAGCCGCCCCTGTAGCTACAGGAACCTGCCCCGTTACAATCCCAAATCCTCCCAGCAACCGCTCCGTATAGAAGTGCATCGAGCCTCCTCGACCTTTTGCATTCCCAGTCTCGCGTCCATAGAGTTCGGCCATCAGCTCATCCGGGGTCGCACCCAGTAGAAGTGCAAGCGCATGACAACGGTAAGAGGTTGCCCACCACTGCTCCTTTCCCATGACTTCAACAGCCGTTGTCTGGATCGCCTCTTGCCCCATATAAGAGTGGAAAAATCCCCCGATCTTCCCCTGAAGGTAAGCCGATTCAGCACGGAGCTCAAAATTCCGAATGAGCAACATCTGCTTGAGACAATGGATCAGTTTTTCTTTCCCAATTTGTCCAATTAGTTGCTTGGTATCGCTTGGGAAAAAGTTGTAGGTTACAGCTTTTTGATTCATTTTTTTCCTAAAAAATCGAAGGAAGCGGACTCATCTTCATGAGCCCTGGCATCGCATTCGGGTTATTGGTTACAGGTATGGTATGCACTCCCTCATCTTTAGGACCCAGCTCATAGCATCCTGTCAGAAGTCCACAACACATAAATACAAGAATAAATTTTATACTCATAGGGAGTTATTATACCTTATTCCGGTTTTGAGCAATATAAGAAGTGTAGGGAGTGGATGATCGAGTTTTGAGATTCTCAAACCGATCTCGATAAGCCGCGACGACGATTGGATCGTTTAAAACGACGACATTCTCTTGATGAATTTTAGCGGCATCATAGGTGAAATTGAACGAACCCGTCCAGACTTTCTCCATTCCAAAAACGCAAAATTTATGGTGCATCAGAGCTCGTTTGACCTTGTTCCGATCCCCCTCGCTCCAGACATAGACCGGAATCCCTGCGTTGACAATCCGTTGAAGCGGCGAATTCCTCTTCACAGAAAATCGGTCGACAACCACTTCAACCTCAACCCCCCTTCTCTTCGCTTCGACCAAACCATTCGCAATCGCCCTGTGAGTGAATGCATAAACGCAGATCGAGATACTTTTTTTCTCTTGTGCAATCATTTCAATCAGCCGTCTCTCCAGCCGATCTTCTGGAGCAAAATAGACCGTCGCATCTTTCGAGATCGCCACTCCTATCGGTATTTGGGTTAAGGGTAGAGAGAAGAGTGCAACAAGAAGGGTTACCATATTTCCCAAAATATGGTACCGTATCATATAAATTGATGAAACCGATTTATTTCGACACTGAGACAACAGGTATTCGGCCAGACAAAGACCGGATTATTGAAATTGCAGCCTATGATCCAGAGGAGAACCGAACCTTTGTGCAATTCATCAATCCAGGGTGTCCAATTCCCGCCGAATCGACAGCTATCACCGGCATTACCGATGAGATGGTTGCCTCTGCTCCTGGCTATGAGATTATTGGCCAGCAGTTCATTGAATTTTGTGGTCCCAACGCTGTCCTCATCGCCCACAACAATGAACGATTCGACAAACCGTTTATCGAGACAGAATCGGCCCGATCAAATCTCGTACTTCCAGCTTGGAAATATGTCGACACACTCAAGTGGTCGCGCAAATACCGGTCAGATCTTCCAAGCCACGCCCTTCAAAACCTCCGAGAAATCTATGGATTTGAGTCGAATCAAGCCCACCGCGCCCTTGATGACGTCATGACTCTCTACCGGATCTTCTCCGTCATGATCGACGACCTTCCCATCTCCACGGTACTGGAGCTTCTCTCTCAATCGACAAATGGGAACCGGATGCCTTTTGGAAAATATCAAGGGAGACTCCTCTCCGAGGTCCCTCCCGACTATTTCCAATGGCTAAAAAACTCGGGCGCTTTGGATAAGCCAGAGAATCGAGAATTGAAAGAGGCAGCGGTCAAAGTCGGAATCTCTTAAGGTCTTTTCACGCCCCACAAGCCCCAAGTTTTTTAATCGGCAGACTCCTAGAAGCCTATCTTGCAGATGGCAGATGGAGGTCTTCTTTACTACCTCACCTTACGCAGGGGTGATGAGTGGAGAAATATGAGATTTTGATTATCGAGCTCTTAAAAAAGCACAGACATATTTTCAAATATGGCGACCATTTTTTAAGAGCTCGATAATCAAAAGATTGTGTTTATTCACCATTGCACATGCGTAAGGTGAGGTACTACCTCAAAACAAGCCAAAGAGAGGGGAAAATGCTTCCCCAGCAGCCAGAATCTGTAGCAACTGCTGAAGAGGCCCAAAATGAACCCTCTCAAGAGAGTACGACTCTCCGCACTGTGAGATCAGACTCGACCGAGATCACAATAGCGTCATGTATTGAAATCCGCCGAACTGTCGATTTTAAAGGCTGTGGAGTTGTCCTCATAAGAGAGAACTATACGGGGTAAGGAGAAAGTACGGACGCTTTAAGATAGGGATGGCATCCAGCGGCTTTCCTTCGAAAGGCTGGATCTTCTTTAACCCCGGCGTCGAGTTCATAAAATACCCTGTAATCTTGCCGAAGAGCATCAAGCGCAAAACTCTCATCATCTTTGAGATCCGAATCGAGAAATTCCCACACGGTGCTGTTCCTCTGAAGAGCTTGAAGTGCGAGATCTCTATCCGTTTTAAGGACTGGATCGATGAACTGCCATACCTTGGCCCTCTTCCAAATAGCTCGAAGCACGAAGTCCCTATCCGTTTTAAGAGCTGGATCAATGAACTCCCACACCTTGGCGTTGTCCCAAACAGCTTGAAGCACAAAACCCTCATCGCTTTTAAAAGCTAGATCGATGAACTCCCACACCTTGGCGTTGTCCCAAACAGCTTCAAGCGTAAACTCTCTATTATTTTTGAGCCTTCTACTAGCATACATAAACGCTTGAGCATCGGATTGAATAGCGATGCGCAAGAATTTGGGATCATTTTTGAGTCTTTCACTTGCTTTCCCAAATATAGAGACATCTAACTGGGCTTGTTCCAGTAAGAACTTCTCATTATTATATCTTCTGTTGGCAAAGTCGTAGATCCCCACACCGATATTCCCAATGACAGGAACCAAAAGAGTTATGCAGCGCAAGGCGTGTTTTTGCTCTAAATGCTCATAGTAATAACTCTGCTGGATGGTTTCTTTTTTCACAAACGAAAGGGAGATATATTTTTGAAATAGATCGACCAAATTACTCACCGTGCTGACAATTGGAATATAGTCGCACGCGTTGTCTAATTTAACTGAAATCTCGCCTATCCCTCGAGTCATATCTTGTCTCCTTTTCTTCTACCGCAACCCTACAACAGAGCTTTGAGCCTCATTGAGTATACCAAAATCGGTTAAAAAATCTATTCCATTTTTTTTACAAAACAGCCTCAATTCAAAAATTATAAAGAAAAACAAGCTTCTCGACTTAAATTTCAATCTATCTTTGAACTACGTCCATTCTGGCACAGAGATGCAAATAATTATTTTGAATAAAAACCTTTCCCTTGATCATCTGATTTACACCAAAAGGCATAAGCGCCTCTTATTTTTACAACCAATTTAAAATCAGCTACTTACTGTGAGAATTAGGATAAATTTCGCATGTGTTCAAACTATATGAATAGTTTAATAAAACGGTGGATGCGTTCTTATTCGACCCACCTTTTCCTCACGGCTTTGGGGTTGTGAAAGCTTCGAGCCCCGGGAAAGAAGAGGGGGCCTGAAGTTAAAAAGAGGCGATGAACCTTTGGCTATGCGAGAGAGGCCTTGACCACCATCATCAGGGAAAGCACCGTGATGACCATCAAGGAGACGAGAAATACCTGACGCGCCCATCTTGAGTCGTTTGGAGCTTTAAACCCCCTCAATACAAGCAGAAGCCATGCGAGACTGATTGCAATGGTCATTGAGAGACTAAGAGCTCCTCCACCTTGGAGATCAATCAATGCAGTCGCTGCAACTCCAAAAGCCGCTGTATAAAAAACCATCCACCTCTTTGTGACTTCCATCCCTTTTGCAAGGGGGTAGACGGGGATCCCAGCTGCTGAGTAGTCGTTCAAACGGTAAATGGCAATCGCATAAAAATGGGGCATCTGCCAGAAAAACAGGGTGATCAATAAGAGCAAAGCCGCTCCATCGATTACAGGATGAACCGCTGTGTATCCCACAACAGGAGGGACTGCTCCTGCAACCGCTCCGATCAAAGTCGCAAATCGGGTGCGGTACTTGAGTGGCGAATAGAGAAACACATAGATAAAAAAACCGACCACCGCTGTGATGAGCGCGGTTGGATTTGTCCAGCAGGCTAAGACCACACCACCACAAAGGGCTAAAGCAGCGCCAAAAATTAGACCGTTCCGTACAGAGACTGAACCCGTTGCAAGGGGTCGATTTTTAGTTCTAGCCATTCGACGATCGGCGACTCTATCGATACAGTTATTCAGGGCGCAACCGGCCCCCACAATCAGGGACAACCCGATGAGCATGGCGATGAACTGTTTAAAATCGCCCCTCCCGCCTGATGAAGCTAGGGCAAATCCAGCCACTGCAGTCAATGCATTCCCTGCGATAATGCCGGGTTTTGTCACGCTAACATAAGTTAAAATAGATTTTTTCATAACCTTTGTTATTTAAAGAATGTCAAACCAATTGTCTAGACAAATGTGGTGAATTCTTGTATCTAAAAATTTCATGAACAGAAAATTCAGGCTCGTATTCTTCACTTTATTGGCGCTGGCTCTGATCGCCATTGCCGGCATCTACATGAGCCGACTCGATATTCCTGTGATGAACCCTCAAGGTCTCATTGGRATTGAAGGAACGGAATCTGATCGCCATCTCTTCTCTCCTGATGCTCATTGTGATTGTTCCTGTCTACATCATGACGTGGTTCATCGCTTGGAAATACCGTGCTAGCAACAGACAAGCCGACCACTCCCCTGATTGGGACCACAGCACAGTCGCAGAGTGTTGCTGGTGGGGCTTCCCTCTGATCATCGTCATCATCATCGGAGTTTTAACGTGGAAGTCGTCCTATGAATTAAGCCCTTATAAGCCGATTGAATCCGATAAAAAGCCGATCACCATTCAGGTTGTTGCCCTCGATTGGAAATGGCTCTTTCTCTACCCCGAAGAGGGGATTGCAACGGTGAACTTTCTTCAATTTCCAGAGAAAACTCCCCTGAACTTCCAAATCACCGCCGATGCTCCCATGAACTCCTTTTGGATTCCAGCGCTGGGAGGACAGATCTATGCGATGCCTGCCATGGAGACACAGCTCCATCTGATCGCCGATCACCCCGGTCTCTTTAGGGGAGCCTCTTCCAATATCAGCGGTGTCGGCTTTGCGGGAATGGTGTTTCAGGCAAAGGCGACTTCAGAAGAAGAGTACTTGCAGTGGATTGAAAAAATCAAAACAACCGCCCCTCCTCTCGACTATAACCTCGTCTTCGAACCATCGCAGTACGTCCCCGCCACATTTTATCGACTCCAGGAACAAGACCTTTTTAACCAAATTCTCATGAAATATAGTCCTAAGGAGTAGCTCATGTTTGGAAGACTCACAATCGACGCATTTAAACACGACTTCATCGAATATGTCGCCGATGGCTCCATGGTCATTGGAGCTCTTTTCTTCGCCCTTCTCCTCACCTATTACAAAAAATGGGGTTGGCTTTGGAGAGAGTGGATCACCTCCGTCGATCATAAAAAAATCGGCATCATGTATATCGTCGCATCGACGATTATGCTTGCGAAAGGGCTTGTCGATGCCCTCATGATGCGAGCACAGCAGATGATGGCTGTAGGAGAGTCGATGGGGTACTTAGAACCCGACCACTATCAACAGCTCTTTACAGCGCATGGAGTGACGATGATCTTCTTCGTGGCGATGGGATTCATCTTTGGAATGATCAATCTCGTCATGCCGCTGCAAATCGGCGCACGCGATGTCGCCTTCCCATTCCTCAACAACCTCAGCTTTTGGCTTTTTGCAATAGGTGGAATGTTGGTGATGACTTCGCTTGTCATTGGGGAGTATGCAGGAACAGGGTGGACAGCTTACCCCCCTCTTGCAGGGACAAAGTACAATCCTGGAGTCGGCGTCGACTACTGGATTTGGAGCATCCAGATCTCAGGGGTTGGAAGTCTCCTTTCCGGGGTCAACTTCATCGTCACCATCCTGAAGATGCGCGCTCCTGGGATGAGTCTCATGAAAATGCCCATTTTTATCTGGTCAACACTTGTGGCGATGGTTCTCGTCGTCTTAGCGTTTCCTATCTTGACTGCAACCCTTGGAATGTTGACCACCGATCGGCTTTTAGAGACCCATCTCTTTACGACGGAGTTTGGGGGGAATCCGATGCTCTACATCAACCTCTTCTGGGCTTGGGGCCATCCCGAGGTCTATATTCTCGTCTTACCCGCCTTTGGGGTCTTTTCCGAGGTTGTTCCTGTCTTCTCTCATAAACGACTTTTCGGCTATACCTCGATGGTCTGGGCCCTTGTCTCCATCACCATTCTCTCTTTCATCGTCTGGCTTCACCACTTTTTTACCATGGGATCTAGCGCCTCTATCAACGCCTTCTTTGGAATCATGACGATGGTCATCGCAGTTCCAACAGGGGTAAAGATCTTCAACTGGCTCTTCACGATGTTCCGAGGTCGCGTTCAGTTTTCAACACCTCTCCTCTGGTTTCTAGGTTTTGTGGTCACCTTTACGCTGGGGGGAGCAACGGGCGTTTTAATGGCGATCCCAGCTGCAGACTTCCAGATTCACAACTCTCTTTTCTTAATCGCCCACTTCCATAATGTCATCATCGGAGGTGTTGTCTTTGGAATTTTTGCAGCTTATAGCTACTGGTTCCCTAAATTCGCCGGCTTTAAGCTCAACGAACGGCTTGGCAAATACGCTTTTTGGTGTTGGATCGTCGGCTTTTTTATCGCCTTTCTTCCCCTCTATCTACTCGGTTTTATGGGAGCTACCCGCCGCTTAAACAACTACGACGTCGCAGAGTGGCAACCCCTCTTTGTCATCGCGGCCATTGGAGCTGCTATCATTGCTCTTGGAGTCGCCTTCCAATTCCTCCAATTCTATGTCAGTTTTCGGAATCGGAATACCAACCGAGATCAGACAGGAGATCCTTGGAATGGGAGAACCCTCGAATGGTCAACAACATCTCCACCCCCCTTTTATAACTTTGCCATCACGCCAGAGGTTCATGAGAGAGACGCCTTTTGGGCCTCAAAAAATAGGAAAAATCGAGAAGAGCCCAAACAGTACCATCCTATTCATATGCCTAAGAATACAACCCTTGGGTTTTACATCAGCGTCTGGAGCTTCCTCCTCTCTTTTGGGCTCATCTGGTACATGTTTTGGCTAGCGGCTTTAAGCGTCATTGCAATTGTCGCCTGTGTGATCAAACACCTGTGGCAAAAAGAGCCCGATTATCTGATTTCAGCTGACGAAATTAAAAAGATGGAAAAGGTATGATCACCCACGAAAAAAGTCCTGACCCTCACCACGACACCTACTCCAAGACCGTCTTCGGATTTTGGCTCTATCTCTTGACCGATTTCATGCTATTTGCAGCCCTTTTTGCAACCTATGAAGTGTTAAAAAGGAGTACCTTTGGAGGCCCTTCGGCCAAAGACCTTTTCCACCTCTCGTCTGCACTCACTCAAACCCTCCTCTTGCTAGCAGCTAGCTTGACAAGCGGAGTTGCCTCAAGTTACGCCCACCGGAAGCAGAGAACCGAAACGACGACCTACTTTGCATTGACGCTTCTCTTAGGTCTCGCTTTCTTAGTGCTCCAGGGTCTCGATTTCAAGTCGCTGATCGTCGCCGGCCACGGATGGAATCAAAGCGCCTTTTTATCTATTTTCTATATCTTGATCGGAACTCATACCCTCCATCTCATCATTGGACTCCTGTGGATTCCGCTGATCCTCATCTTGCTCTACCGAGATGGGTTTACCATGACAAGCTTGCAAAGAGTCGCTTGCCTGAAGCTGTTCTGGCAATTTGTCAACCTGATGTGGCTCTTGACCTTTACCCTCGTCTACCTTTTAGGAGGTGTTCAATGATTGATAAGCACCACGGCTGGAACATCAGTCTTAAACCCCCCATCTTCGGGTTCGCTCTCTCTCTTATTTTGACCCTTCTCTCTTATGGCGTTGTCAAAGAGTATCCCCTCACCCTGACGATAAGCTTGGTCGTCTTTGGACTTGCCATCGTTCAGATGGTCTTACAGCTGATCTTCTTTTTCTTTTTGGGAGTAGGAGAAAAGCCCGACTGGAATACGATCGCCTTTGTACTCACACTTCTCACGGCTTTTTTCATCGTCGCAGGGACGATTTGGATCGTGAATGACCTCGACTACAACATGATGCCCATGCCCTAACCCGATCTGAACCCTCGACTCTCTGTACGGTAAAGTCACCGATTTTTGCGATACCATATGATCCCCTCTGTCCAAAAAAATCTGTACAGGTTAGACTTCTAAAAAAAAGGAACTCTGCTATGAACGTTTCCCTAGCCTTTCTCAGGTCGCTCTTCGTGGTCCTCAGCGTTGTCTTCATGACAATCTACATGCACTCCATGCCAACGGGCAAAACGTTTGTCAATACCATCTTAGGAGTAGGGTTGGGGGGGCTTTTTGGACTTCTGTTGATTGGTTTCGATATCGCGTTTCGAAGATTCAACCTCCGGTCGTTTAATATCGCCGTCCTCGGAATCTTCTTTGGCTACCTCATGGGGCAAGGACTTCTCCTCGTCTTTGATGCGATTATCGATATCAGCTCCATCTCCTTTATTCTCTCTCCTAAAACCGTCGAGATCATCAAAATTGGGATTTTCCTCTTCAGCGTCTATCTCGGGACTATCATGACACTCCGCTCGAGCGATGAAGTCTATATCAGCATCCCCTTCATTCGGTTCACCCAAGCCGCTCAAAAGAAAAAAGACCTCGTCGTCGATTTCTCCGTCCTCGCTGACCCCCGTATTATCGACCTCGCTTCGACAGGGCTTCTCGATCACCAACTCATCATCCCGAGATTTATCATCAAAGAGCTGTATGCTCAGGCTGAGATAGGGGAAGAGAATACGAAAAATAAAGCCAAACGGTCTCTAGAAGTTGTGAAAAAACTCGAAGGGATTTCTCATCTGGAGCTCCGTTATAACGATACCGATTTTCCCGAAGTTAAAGAGATGATGGGTAAAATTGTGAGACTCGCTCGACTTCTCGACGGAAATATCTTGAGCGCTGACATCAGCCGAGTCCAAACGGCCACCATCGAAGGGATCACCGTTGTGAACCTCCACGCTCTCTCTAACGCCTTAAAACCCCTTATGGCTGGCGGAGAGGTCATCCGGATCAAAATTCAACGGATTGGGAAAGAGCCACGCCAAGGGGTTGGATACCTCGAAGATGGGACGATGGTGGTCGTCAATGGTGGGGGTGATTACATCGGGGATACGATTGAGGCGCATGTCCTCTCTGTTAAACACACCTCATCGGGTCGTATGATCTTCTGCAATGTCGCCGATGAGAATGGAGACTACCTAGAGGAAGATTTAACCGATGACGATGAGGACCACTCGTCGTGATGAGCCTTGGGAATGACATCTTAGAGATCGACCGCATCCGAGAGGCGATTGAAAAGCATGGGGATCGATTTATCAACCGTCTCTTCACCCATGGGGAGCAAGAGTACTGTTCAAAATATCAAGACCCCATCCCCCACTATGCGGCTCGATTTTCTGCAAAAGAGGCGATTGCCAAAGCTCTGGGAACAGGTTTTGGAGAAGAGGTCTCTTGGCTCGATCTCGAAATTCTCAATAATGCGCGAGGTAAGCCAGAGGCCTTTTTCTCTGAAAAAGTGAAGCTCCACTTCAATAACCCTGAAGTCTTAATTACGATTAGCCATACCCATCACCACGTCTCTACGGTCGCCCTTAGAGTCAAGTAGAGAAAACCCTTCTCTCTTATCTATGGAAGAGTTTAAACTTTACCCTCAATTGAGGTGTAAAGATGTCTAATCTGGTTCCTGCCAACTTCTATTCCAACAACGCTTTTACGCCGATTGACGAACCGTTTGGGGATCCGATCTCTTGCTCCAATACCCCTCTCAAAGAGGCCTCCAATCGGAAAGTGGGGAGGGTATTTTCTAAAATATTCCACGACAGTGCCAGATGGACTGTCAAAATTTTTGACCAAGGAAACCACTTTATTGGTACTGGGAATCTCCTATCTCCCAGACTTCTCCTCACAGCAGCCCATTTTTTCCCTTACGCTGCATCGATACAGACCTCCTCTAAAGACAAGATACCACTCACACTCAACCGTCTCAATGGAGATGCAAACTATGCCTTGGCTTTTTTAGAACAAGAAGCCTTTTCACAGACAGAAAATGAGCAAGGGGCGATGCTCGATTACGAAGAGGTAACAATAGGCCATTACGGGATGATCCACTATGCGAATAATTCCGCCGACCCTTCCGTCTGCGTGGGGGAGTCTTCGAATGGAAATCTGGTTTTAGCTCTGGATGGAGGGGAAGGCTCTAGTGGGGCTTTGATCTATAATAGCCACGGTCGTGCAATCTCTCTCCATCGAGAGGTTGAAGGATTGAGATCGAACCTTTTCATCCATCAGATCGTCGCCGATGAACTCGCTCATTGGGACAACAGCTGGATCTTGAATGACGCACAGATCACCGAAAAACTCCGGACCAAGAGTTTTCCATGGACCTATGCTTTTGGCCCTCCTCCAAAGGATGAGATTTGCGAGATCCATGGGAGTCTCACCTCTCAACAGGCTGGAAAACCGAGAAAAATTTCAGCTCTTAACCGGGCGGTTGTAGAAAAGATCCGTGCTTTTTTACAAGAGGCCCATAAAGACAATGGTATTCAAGACGGTTTGTACAGCAAGTGGTTTGGCAATCCAGGAACTGTCCTCCAAGAAGATCAATTCCAGATCGATATACAAAAACCGGCGGTCGATTATACCAATATCGGCATTCAGGTCGGAAAAGAGATAGTGGCAACCGTCACCATTCACAACTCTTTAGGAGGTTACGACAAGAGCCATCAAGACAAAGTGTATGAACTCATGAATTTTGCCTTGCGACAACTCTATCGATCGGTGGGACATGCAGCTTTCAATCAAATCTCTATTGAATACCGCATCGACCCAAAATAGCTTGTTAACTCACCTTACGCATGTGCAATGGTGAATTGTTAAAACAATGAAAAAGGGAGTCGATACCCGATGAGAACAAAGTTCACCCTTTCAGGAAAAGAGCGGGCGTAGAGTCTCCTCGTATAGGAGAGGGTCAGACGGCCCCAAATCTCCATGACATAGGTGTATGCAATTCCGGTATCGATGCTTCGATGTTGAATCGAAGCATACCCATCGAAATGGTCAACCCTCACTCTTTTATGAGGGCCAAAACCGAGATAACTCTCTGCAAAAAAAGTAAGCCGGTGGGTGTTGTGAAAATTCCCTTCAATCGCCGTCGTTAAACGGCTCCATGGATAGCCACGCTCCGCCATCCCAATCGCTGCAAAACCATACGTCCTAAACTGCCAATGGAATCCACTGTCCCATTCACGCCCAACCGATGTAGTGAGCTCACAGTTGAAGTAGGCGTGGTAGGGAGAGCTCACATCGTGAACGCTATGTTTTGAGACGCCGCGAAGAGAGACTCCTGTGGTCAGTGAGACAGGGTCTCCAATGATATCATCGAGCCACAGATACCGGACTTGCCCACCGACACTGCGCATCCCCATCGATTGGTGACGAGTCTGTGCGAACTGAGCATCGGCATCGAATGCCCAGCTAGGGGCAGGAGAGATTCCAACATCAAAGGCCACCACCTGATCGATAGAAGAGTCTTTCCCCTGTGAAGAGCCATTTTGAATGTGGTGGTAACGACTCGATGTCCACGAAGGAGAGAAGGTGCACTCATAGGCTGTGGAGAACCAAGGATCGATGTTCAGAGAGAATAAAGAGAGTGGTGAAGCTAAAAGAAGGTGCTTAAACATGGGCAGACTCTTGCAAAGCCAGCCACCGTTCGACATCGAGTGCCGCCATACATCCACTACCGGCCGCTGTAATCGCTTGTCGATAGATGTGGTCTTGGACATCCCCTGCGGCAAAAATACCCTCAACACTCGTCGAGGTCCCTTTAAAAACCTTGATATAGCCGTTCGACTCAAGCTCGATTTTTCCGTTCAAGAAGGAGGTATTGGGTTCATGCCCAATGGCAAAAAAGAGACCTCCTGCTGTGTGCTTTGTCTCCTCCATTGTATTGACATTTTGCAGCGTGACCGAGCGGACAACCGTATCTCCTTCAACCCTCGTGAGCACATGGTTCCAGATCATCTCAATTTTGGGGTGGTTAAGAGCACGCTGGGCCATGATCTTTGAAGCGCGGAGCTCATCCCGGCGATGAACGATAAAAATTTTACTACCGAATTTGGTTAAGAAGAGAGCCTCTTCGATCGCCGTATCTCCGCCTCCAATCACAAAGAGGTGTTTCTCTCGGAAAATCGGGATTGCCCCATCGCAAACAGCACAGGCGGTCACCCCTTTTTGCCAAAACTCGTGATCTGCTGTTCCTGGTACAGAGAGCCTCTTTGCGACAGCTCCCGTTGCAACGATGATCGCTTCTGCCATCACAACGCCCGAGGACGACTCGATCTTGAAAGGTCGCTCTGAGACATCGACAGATGTGATATCCTCTCCGATAATTTGAGTCCCAAACCTCTCGGCCTGCTTCCGAAATAGTCCCATCAGATCGGGGCCCATAATCCCTTCAGGGAATCCGGGGAAATTTTCAACCTCTGTCGTCGTCATGAGCTGTCCTCCTGGAGGACCTGAATAAAACCCCTCGTAGACGACAGGCTGCAGATTCGCACGCGCTGCATAAATGGCAGCTGTATAGGCTGCGGGACCGCTTCCAATGATGACGAGTTTGTATTTTTGCATAGATCTTTGTATAGCTCAGGGGGTTATTGTTTTTTGAGATCTTTGAACCCAGAGCTGATCACTCCCTCGATCGGTCGTGATGAATCCTCTGAGATTCCTCAATTTTTTACCATTTTTATCAATTCCTGTGGAATAAAATCTACCCTAGACTCGATAATTTTTACATGCGCAGTATTAGACTAGAAAAGATAAAAAAATCGATCGGTGGTGGACTCATCATCAACGATATCAGCCTGACCATCCCTGCGGGGAAATTCTTCGCCCTTCTCGGGCCAAGCGGGTGCGGAAAGACAACCCTTTTACGTTTGATCGCGGGTCTTGAAAAGGCCAATGCGGGAAAGATTTTTTTAGGCAACGAAGACATCACGGAGGATGCCATTCACGAAAGGCCGATTAACATCGTCTTTCAAAACTACGCCCTTTTCCCTCACCTCGATGTCTTTGACAATGTCGCTTATAGTCTTCGGCTGAATAAACTTCCCAAAATCGTCATTGAACAGAAAGTCTTCAAAATCCTCGAAGCATTCCACCTTGAGAACCACATCTACAAATCGCCTAGTCAACTCTCCGGGGGACAACAGCAACGGGTGGCGCTGGCCAGAGCGATTGTGAATGAACCCGACGTCTTGCTCTTAGATGAGCCGCTCGCCGCTCTCGACTTTAAGCTCCGCGAAAGGATGCTCATCGAACTCATTGAGCTCCAAGACAAGCTCAAGACAACCTTTGTCTATGTAACCCACGACCAGTTCGAAGCCCTGACGGTTGCCGATCAGATGGCGATCATGAATCACGAAGGAGAGATTGAGCAGATTGGGACCCCCAAAGAGATCTACGAATTCCCCCACTGTTGCCAATGATACTCACCAGTTTGTATTTGCTTGACCTTAGATAGACTGTACTTCTTGGAGAGTTTGAACGTCTTCCTCAGCCTCATCCACATGGCGTCTGGTATCTGCAACTCATCCTTGAGTTGCGACAAGTCGGTGAGTGGCACATAGGTCTGGTCCATCTCGTTGGCTGATTGGACTTCAATGCATCTCACACATGTAGGTGGACACTTGTGAAGGTCTGTCACTCGCTCATGTTGCGACAGATTGCTGCTCTCGAAGCTGGTCTTCTTGGAATCACATGTCTCATGCCTGCACGCTTTGTAACCAACTGGAATTGGAACTGGGCCAGCTGGAGGAGGTCTCTTGGATACGCACAACACGCACTCGCCTGTGGTACACTCTGTCTGATGATGCTTTCGGTAATGTTTGGAACGTGCTTGAGTGCTGGCGTATGTACGACCACAACTGATATGCTGACATGTAACTTGCACCATTATATATATATATATATATATACAGATAACAGCCGGCCGCCAAGGCAAGCCTTTGAATGACTCTGTCAGCCGTACAGCTCGTGTTTTGAAGGACTCAGACATCAATCATTCAATGACTAACCACCTTGGTCTTTGGACATTCATTGAGATAACAGGTGTTTATCTCAACCCATCCCAGACACCTCTTTGGATTGATCGACCGACCAATGCTTTCTTTGACCTGGGAAGATGGACACCACCACGCAAAACATCAAAAAAATGTTGCATAAAGCACTATGTCTAGTGGGGGTGATCCTCCTTTTATGAACTTT